TTTAACAAGTTACTTCTTGGTTGGTAACCCCTTCTAAATTGATTATTCCTCTACACAGGTCTCGCAAGATTTTCTTCTCACTGTGTGTTGCAAGCTCATTAAATTTGTCTTTGATGCATTCCATTCTTACTCCTGAAATACTTGCTGGCTTCATGTATCGTTCAGATTAATCCCATTTATTTGGCTTTGATCTTGTAACCACTGCAGATTGGTTTGTTTCCTTCAATCTAATAGTTTTGATCATCCTTTGTTGAACCACGGCTTATGATGCTCCAATTTGTAACAAACTTGACTCTCTTTGGCTACTCTGTCAAAAATGGTCCATGCATTTATTTGCCATATTCAATAAATCAGTTCTTCTGCTATAAAAGTATGCCACATATCTTCACACTTAGTATAAGACCTACTTCTTACAGACCCTTGTGCAACATGAGAGCTGAGACGAAGAGTCAACTACAAGTAGACATACAACAATGTGACCACAGATACTACATCATATTATTAAAAAAAAGTCACTTAAAAGCAACATCATCTCTTTCTCACTACACACACAGTCTCACAATGGGTCTCCTTGTACTTTTGACAATGAAAATACACCATCACTAACAGGTTCTCACTGATATAACCACACAAACAGGGCTGTATCAAACTTAATTACAGAACATATTTTTTCCCCACTACAAATGTCCAAATTACCACGTTTATCCAAATTATCTTACACTTTTTCTGAAAATTTCACACTAACCTAAGGAACAGCAATTGAAGATATTCTATCTGCTATGCTATTTTGAAATTAGAATTGTTGATCTTCTGTCAGTTTGGTAATCAGTTCACTGTATGGTCCAAGAGAGAATGTAACAAATTCCTTGGAGCAGATGCAGACAATTAGACAGGTTAAAGTGTTTCAAGGCGCAAATCTCAATTTATTAAGCTTTTTCCATAGCTTAGGTGGCTGATCACTGGCTTCCCACTGAGTGGCTAAGGTTTGATCTGAAGTCAGGTCATGTGGGATACACGATGTAGAAAATGGTACAGAGGTAGGTTTTCCCTGAATACTTTGTTGGTTTCCCTGCCAATTCTCATTCCATCCACTACTCCACACTCATTGTCATTCTATCATCAATGCTATGCAGTCTCAATAATGACAGCATTCTTAAATAACCAACACAAAAACATACATTAAGCAGTTTTTGAGAAAAACGTTGAACTAATATGCCAGATCAACACTAGGTTTTATTAACATGGCTGTATAACTGAATAGCTATCATATTCCCACCACAGAGAATAAATTCCCAGCATATATGGATGGTGAACCACGACTGCCATACAAGTATCTAAATGCACAATGTACAATGTTATATTCTGTAACTAGGCAATAAATTAATATTTATTCTAAGTTTAAAAGAAATGAGTCACATCCCATTTCGGACAACACAGTTTCGCTTCCTTCCATTCAGCAAGCTACCTTCAAGTAATACAGGAAGGGAAGAATTAACATGACAAGTGTATGGCCAAGAAATAATTTCAAAAATGGCAAAAGAATACTAAATTGAACCATCCTATCGCGCTGTGTATATCTGACTAGCCAGAAGCATGAAATGTTGTCAAATATTTCCAAGTCTCAGTCAGGCCAAAGCTTAAATGGAAGCAGACAATACAATAACAAGAAGTGTAAGTAATGTACTGCAAGTGCACAAGTAAGTGATACCAAACTCGATGAGCAGGTCTTAATTTGTTCTACCTACTGCCCACTATTTCATAAGAGATACCGACACTAAAGGATTCAGATACTGCAAAACGATCCACATACTTCTCAGGACAGAGAATGAAGCAGAATAATATGAATGCAATACAAAGCCATCAAAATGAATAAGGTTTTGTATCTTCACCTAGCCTTTACAGTATTTCCTATTTTTTGTGATAACATGAATATGTTATGTTATTCTATGTAAAGGATAAGAATAACAACTTGAAGGTACAATTAATATGTTGTTGGACATTATCCATCATCATGTCTATTCTTAAAAAACCATCCTGTTTCTTTTAAAAACACAACATTTCGGGGACTGGATTCTGGATGGATAATGTCCAACAACATGTCAATTGTAACAATCTACCATCATCACAAACTTTTTGATCTTATTAACTTGAAGGTAACTCTGAAGCTCAAGTAATGACTCTAGGATTAGTCAAAATGTAACATTTCTTCTGCTGAATGTCCACAACAAAAATTTCTGATGTAGTGCAGGATACAGCATTTGTACTTGCAGTTTATAACATAATTAGTAGGTGGCTCTTATAATATGATACCAAGAATATCTGGGAAAGACAACATTAAAATTAGTGTCCTCACAACACACTGTGTTACAGCAATGAAGCAAATGCTATTATGTTCCACAGCTATTGCAATATATAGGAAATAAAAAAGTGACATGAAATACAGCATTTCCTATAACAGTAAGAGTCTTCCATGGCATTTACAATATGAAATATCCCCAAACATCAAGAATAACTGATATAAAACAGAATGTTAAGCAGTACTTTGTACTCACCAACAGATGAGGAATTTGAGAACTCACTAATCAAACTGTTCTGCATGAAGACTCATGTTCATTCAGGAGCCTTCCAAGAAGATGCAACCAGTAAAGAAGAATGTAGTAGAAATTCTGCCTGGGTTGACCAGCACATAAACTTGACCAACTTAACCATTGGTCGGCCGTCATACTACTCCTCACAAATTCACACGTCGACACTTAAGTTTCCTGCTGAATGATGATTCCTTCCCCACTTGTCAGCCAAACAGAAACAACAAATGGATGGTTCCAAGTGATATAGACCAGAAGATGAAACGGGAATGGAGTCAAGAGCAGTGCAATTCAAATATATTTTTTCATCCTTTGATTAACTGAGGAGAGATGCCAAAACTTCATAGCAGATCCAAAATATTTTGCTCTTCTTTTTTCAGCAGTCCTTGTATCTTCCCCTGATGTCTTCTTTTAACACTCTTCATTTTCTTTCGCGGAACTTTGGTAGTGGGGTGGAGCCAAACAGTTCAATGTGAACTTCAAAGTAGTTTATATTTTATGGTTTCTAACACTACACTTATAAGAACCTGACTGCTTCTGTAGGTGTGAATGTTTCAGTGGAAGTGAACTCCATTTTTCAAGCAAAATTCCAACACACAATGCAGTTTTTATCAAATAATCTGATGTAAATTCTTTCAAGGAACACAGAAAATGTAACACATAAATAGCAAATTTGTACTATGGGATTTTGTAGTTAAAACAAGCATGTTTAAAAATTATGCTGATGACACATAACATTCATCATGTAATGCTGCTATTATAATTCACGAGTGCTGTAGATATACTTGAGTCTTCAATCTTCTCTTCCAAACATGATGAAATTACAAGCATCTTTAAAATAGAACAACAACGTTCATCAACAAGAAAGGAGTAATAAGACAGATGATAAATTCAAGCCAATCTCCAGTTACATTACGTAGGAGCATTAACTACATGGAATGTTGTCTTCACCAAAAGCCAGACATTCTCAACGTAGATCTTGGGATTCCAATCTAAAATACTGGAGTTTAATGTTGAAGCCACATGGTAGAATGCTGTCTTGAGAGACAGTCAATGTTTCTCATGCACTGCTCACAATTTCCTTTCAATGAATGAAGCATCTTGATGCTGGTGCAACAACATTATGGCTCATCCAATGGGAAGATGAAAGCTTGCCTAATTCTTTATTTCTTCAGTATAAGTTCTATAATTAAAACATGCTTTCTCTTCTCCTGCATGCGATGGAAATGCCAATAACTTTCCCAAAATGTATTGCCTTCTTTTTTGTTGCTTTTCGCTATAAATGCAGATGATATTTAACTGAGATCAATATTAACAGAATCTTCTTGGATGGTGATGCATATGATGAACAAAGCCTCTAAGAGATCCGAGTCATTTCAAAGATCAAAACAATTCCAACTTTTGAATATTATTTACAGCAGTTTCTTCCTCAACACGCACTTTACGAGAATCCTTCTTGAAAAGTGTACCACAACATAAACTGAATTACATATTAAACTATTTACAACTTCAAAATTCTGTTAACTGTTGGAACAATCGTACACTTTCATCTCGCAGATGGCCACGACAGTCTTCAAAACTATATACAACTGAGCAATTATGAATTGTTTCAGGTGTGTTATTTCTTGATAAATATCTTCTCGTAAACCAGGATTATCAATGATTCTTCTACACATATCTGCACTCTTCATGTTTCATTTCTTCTAAATCAAGTACATAATATCACAGGAATATGACAAGAGTCTATATACTTTGAAATCAAGTGCCACAATAATGGCCAAAGAAATTGGCATGAGTAGATTTGATACTCTACAATATGCATTCTACTCACAATTAAAAATTTCCTTTCCTTCTTCCATCCGTCTATCCCAAGACCAGAACTGCTGATCCTTCGTGAAATGAAGCTCAGCATATTTTATGGAAAAACGGTCCTTTCAAACTTATTCACATCACTGGGCAAAAAATTTGAAACTATTTTTGGACAATGACCTAAACCGTTCTGCAAGATGGCGTTGTTGAACAATGGAGATCTTCTCCTCGGACCCGAAGTCTAAACAATAACGATACACAACCTTTCATTTCAACATTCATAACCTTTTATATCTTCCACCCCACTAGAAATTGGGACAAATGGTAAGACTGGACAGATTCCCAAGAAGAAACAATACACATGTGACCAGGCAGGCCAAACTAGTTAGCAGCAATGGGTGCATGAACTGTGCTCTGGCTGGCACATGGAAGATGCGGCCACACGGCTAGTTGGTTGGTGTGGGGGATGGAATGGGTTTCCATGTAGTCGTTCAGCGAAGTAGGGACCTTGTATCTCACGTCTGTAACCCAGAAAACCTTCCAGCCTGCCTGCAAACTGCAAGTTGCCTCCCCCAGCCAGCGGTGCTAGGAGACTTGGATACTAACCTTCGAGGACAAACTGCCTTCCAGCTTTCTGCGTTTCACATCTGCAACAATGCAACAAAAATTACATTCACAAAAATACTATTCACAAAGTAAGTTCCTTAAAGTTTTTGCTCCTGATTGACACAATACCACCGAATGACAAACGTAAACACTCCGAACATCATAAACAATTACAATTACTATCATTTGTATACTAAGGATGTGAGAGTAAGCTATTAATCTGCAGAAAATGTAGATGAGTTTGTGGAAATAACAGCAAGGCGATTTGAAAGTTTTTGTTATATAATGAGTTATCAACTACTGATGCTATGTGGAGCCAGACAATAATGCAGAGTTTTTCAAACATTTTCAATTCATGTCACACTGAACAAAGTGATAAAACTGCCAAGGCACACAATCAATTTTTAGATATTCTGCACACCGGCATGCATCAAGACATGTAACAGTCAAAACACAATGTCTGCGACATGATGCAAAGAAAGGAGCACAAATGAAACGAATGAGATTATGAAAACCGCCACACACCGGCCTGAGTCATGATGCTGATGTCAGCTTCATGCTGAAAAATCATGAATGAAGCAAGACTGCGTATTCTGTCTCACGTCTTGATGCTTGTCCTGACGCAGTTGGTGTGCGGACACACTTAAGGACAGATGTTATCATTAACAACGAATATTAAGAACACATTTAAAAGCTCAATAGCTAAAATTCTAGGCACTGTTATTTTTTAAAATAATGATCATGGATATCCACAACTTTTTTATTCCTCAATTTTTACTCGCTTCCTTTTGCCCTTCCCCCACAACCCCACAGCACACCTGTGGGCCTTCACCTCACACCACATGGCACACCAGTTGAAATATCACCGCAATAAGGTGAGAGGAAGGAGGTGGGTATCTGAATAGAGGGCACAGTCAGTCAGTCAATCTGAATTCTTTTACTGAACTGGAGAACTCATGTGATAATTGAAATTACCATTTAAACTGATGACTGAATTATGATTATCAGAATTTAAGACTGCTGACCAATGATTACTGTATGATATTAAGAATTTAATAATCATAACCTGTATAGTTCATTTAAAGTCGGTCACGGTAGCCGAGCGGTCTAAGGCATGCACTGTCTTCGCTCGCTTGGAAGCCGGGATCGTGGGTTCGAATCCCACTCAGGGCATGAATGTTTGTGCGTTTTTCTGTGTTTGTCTACAGGTAGAGGCCTTGCGACGAGCTGATCACTCGCCCAAGGAGTCCTACCGAACGTGTAAGATCTAGTAAACCGAAGTGAAACGGAGAGTTTCATGGAGGCAGGCCTAGGCCCAAATTGGGGCTGTAGCGCCACAGGAAAAAAAAAGTTCATTTAAAGGGGGCAACTTCCTATAAACAGTACACGAGTAGATGGCATGAAACCCAGCTTCTCAAGTCACTTTTGGTGAGAAATAAATATATAAAGAAAAGTCAAAGAGTGCCAACACTATAATCACTTGTGGTTACGATCTGCAAGTGTTCAATAAATCCAATTACCAACCCAAACTCCATCTATAGTCACTTAATCTTGTGACAAATATATTACAGATGTTTTCAGTGAGCATACCTCTGTCGACCTCGGGCGGCTCTTGGCTGCGCCTATGGCCCGAACCCGAACTGCTATTGGAAAGGCTGCTGAGGTCTCTATCTCTGTCCCGGTCATCGTGTGTTGGCTCTCGAGAGTAGTAGTGACTGCTACGCTCATTTCCCATTCCACTGCTACTGCCATAGTACCGCTCACCACTTCCACCACCGCCAAAACGCTGCTGCAATACCTGTTCTTCCTTCAAACATGGGCTTGGCATTTCCAGGTAACGATCATCCTGCAATGTATCCATATTTGTAGCAACTGCCTGAAGTGCTCATGCAAACCATTTTACTTGTTAACGTCCAAGTAGAAGCAGTTACTTACTCGGTAAGCCCTTTCTTCTCTTTGTAAAGCCCTCTCCTCTCTTTGGGCAGCTTTCTCCTCTTTTTTTTCTTTGGATCGTTTCTCGCGTTCTCCTTCCTCTTTCCTCTCTTCCTTCTTTGATAACTTCTCCTTCACTTCATAATCTTTCTCTTTGTTTTTCTCCTTTTCAGGCTTCTCTTTATTAGATCTGAAATGAACATAAAGTAAAGACCGATTGTATTTAGGCCCACACATGACTGCTGAGCAACTCAACGGGGCATAACACCAGAACTTCATGGATTGCATCCTGATGTGAACTCAATAGTTTTGTGAATTGGACCGTCATCACAACATAATATTATTTAAAATATTATGTGCCGACAGTCCAATTCACGTAACTACATCATCAGAAGTCAGTATTAACAAAATTGTAAAGGTAATAAGCAGAGATGAATTCAATTCTGACCTTGACACTAGACTAACTCAGTCCTTGTTGAAACAAGCCACAATGCACACAATGCCCATAGAGAAGGAACACATACATATTTGCAAAAGCATTCTATTATGGCTTATACCCATGATGATATATTGCATATAATATTAACACATTGTAAGAGCCCCAAGATTTAAAACAGCACAACACTGGGCAAAATAACTTCCACACTGTGAGTTGCTTAAACAACATGGATTCACATGACCTGTCACACAACACTGCAGCTATGACACTACATGAGGAATTTTAACCTTATATTCCATAATTTTTAATACTGTTCCAATATTTTATATTTTTATTTAACTGTGTAACATTCAATTCTTTATTTATAATTCTTAATATACAATATCTTTTAACATACTAATCTCCTTTGATATAATATTATCTGATATTTTTTAAATACAAATTCCTTGTACATTTCTAATATTTTGATAATGGTAATACTGTAATTCTCACACTGTAATGTAAGGCATAATTTTTATAATATGGAAGCACTGCACCAAAACATGAACCCATATTGGGAATTCAATTAACCTTAGTCATATCATTCAACACTGCCTGACGATGGTCCCATGAGGACCGAAACATGTAGCGGTAATCTGAGAAACACTGACTGACTGGAAAACCACTTTTTTTGTGTTGACAGATAACCTTACTTAGCCATATGTTTGTGACACACAACAGGATGCACACTGAGTAAAAATTACCAACAAATGTGACACATTAGGGCGCCTCCTCCAGTTAAAATTATGATACAAATGAAATGTGCTCAGAATTTTCAAGTTGTTGCATAAAATAAAATCTATTAATGCTTTCCAATTCCTGTTACTTGTCATGATTAGGGCAAATTTTATTGCAATTCTTACAATGCCTATTCTGGTATAAAATCCACAGCAAGAATCATGTAATTTACTTACATGTTTACATTTGTTAAACATTTCTCAAATTTTCTGCAAAATGAGTAACATCCTTCTGTGTTTCCTAGGGGACAGACAGCATATTATAAAACCTCTCATCATCAAGTGAAGAGAAGCAAAGCAGTGCCTGTGCCTAATTAAGGATGATACCATGAAGACATGAAGGGCTTGGCACTAGACTGTGGTAAGTGGTCACCTTCATGTTCCAGCCACTTCACCCTTGGAGAAAGAGACCCTGCCACCCACTGCATATGAGGGTGGAGGGTGGATGGGGCTCACAGCTGGTCTGGTCATTGTAGAAAGAAGAAAACTCTTAGCCCTGCTTGGGGTCAAACCCAAATTCCTTCATTGTGCAGCCTAGTTGAAGAATTAATGGGCTTTGTAATAACTCCAAGTTCTGGAGTGCTGAATGAATGCATGGTTTGGTGAGAAGGGCTCGACAGTTTAAGCCCAGACAATCATGATTATTAAAAATACCGTTGCTACTGAAACATACCCTGACAAGGCATCACGTTTGCCTTCAGATGTACTGGTCACATTAGTAATACCAGATTTGGATGCACTGCTCGATTTGCTACTTGACAACTCTCCCATGGTTGTTGTCTGTTGTTGCTGTTGTCGGCTGGCACTTTTGCGTTCACTTCTTTCCTTATTGCTCTCTCGTACAGTTACTGCTTCCTTTGTTTTCTCTACTGAGCGCTCTTTCTCTTGTTTAATTTCTCCATTCACTTGCTTTGTGGCAACAGCTGCTATTGGGCTGGTGTTCAGTTCTTGTTTTACTGAACCACTGTCTTGTGATTTCGAAGGCTATAAACAGGAAGCAACAAATTATCAATGAAGATTTACAAATCTTTCTTGAGCAATAACTCGAAATTCAGCTGTTTAAAGAATTCTGTAGAGCTCTGGAATCAAAATTTTCATCATCACAAAACTATATAATTGGAGGCTACTCTAAACGTCTTCAAGTCACATATCTACCTCCTTCCTTTAGGCTCTAATCAAATATTACTGATCTACTTATTCCTCAGTTCCAACTATGGCAAAAGGTAAAGTTGTCCCTGTTCTTAATTAAACACTATTCCATGAAGACATATGGGGGAGCTGAGGTATAGCTCCACCTTTTTTGACCATGGCATTAGATCGAGGTGAGCTGTCAGCTTCAAACACATGCCGTTGGCTGTTTAACTCCCNCCCCCCCCCCCCCACCCCCCAGGGAAAGAATTCCCGGTACCCACTGAACAGGATGATGGGTGGGCCCACAGTTGATCTGGATGCTATGGAGAAGAGAAAAATCTTGCATTGCTGGGAATTGAACCCAGGCTGTCCAGCTTCTAGCCAACAGTTTCCAAGCATCTTGCTTTGGATGTAATATTTTTGTTTCTCTCAAAGAATAGGTAAGCACAAACATGAATTAGTATGTAAAAATATTATGGTCAGATAATTTGCTCTCTATTAAATTATCTGATCAAATATTTTTATGTATGCAATTCTTGTTTCTTACTACCTTTTCCTTGATGGAAATGAAAATATTATGTCCAAAGCAAGATGCATGGAAACCATGTTAATGAACTGCACTTTCCATCAAAATCCGAGAATAAGAGGAAGGGCTGGCAGCAATGTGAATTCCATTAATGTAAATATAGAGTATTATTCCACTGTAATAAAAGAGGCCACCAGTCCCAGAAATTAGACCATGATGAGACATGTGTAGGCATCAAAAGCTAGCCTAAGAGACAAATTTAAACAAGGTATGACATTGTTATTATTATTAGAGGGGGTGGGTTTCCCCATGCACTTAGACCAGTTATTGGTCCATTGTGTGTCCCCCTTTAATTCCTGTTGCCATACCCTACCGGTAATAGTGCGTGCTATCAGCCCCGTTCAGCCGAGGTCAGCCGTCGGTACCTGATATTTCCCCCTTCTACCAGAGGCACTGGAAACTACTTGGGCGGGAAATTGTTGCCTAATTTTGCTCAGAGGTCTCCTAGAGACATGAGGATCTTTTATGTGCCGTAAATCTACGACACGGGACCCACAGCTTGAAGTCCTTCCCGGAGGACTTGTTCCCTGAATTTTTCCGCCCTTAAAAATTCCACAACCTCCGCTGGGTTTGAACCCGTATACCTTGAGTCATGAGGTGGGAACGTTACCCCTAGACTACGGAGGCTGCTTTATGACATTGTTAAACACCCACATAAGTTCTTTTGTCAGTAGACACATAATTACCTTATCACCAACTTGATGGAAATCATTTTCACGAATCAGGGATGCTGATTTTGCCTTCAACTGACCACTGTAACTTGTGGCAAGAATGAATAAATCCTGCCTCTGATTTTTCTCCTCCTCACGAACCTGAAATACACACACACATATACAGTTAAGAATTGTTTTCACATTACAATCAGAGTAATGAAGTTAGAAAAATCAGTACCATCTGGGACTAGGGGATCTTTAAACCTCCAAGTAGTACAACGCTGGCCACCACATTTCAACTCAGGTATCAGTTTATCATCCAGAGGAGGGGAACTTAAACTTTCATGTAATACAGCGCTGGTGACCAAATTTTGGTATGGGGTTAATGGTATTAGTTGACAAATTGCACTTTTTGCCCAGCTATACCATATACAGGTATATGCATTGTCACAATAATACAACACATTGCCAGTAATAGTAGTAAAGTATAAAAATTTGTACAGGGTGGGTCATCTTACGGCAAAGCTGTTTCTATTCTTATTCTCCCATACAATATCCGTGTCCTTTTGTCCTTACAGTATCTCACGTAATGCCCTTCACAATATAGTAAAATAAAGTGAGATCATATGTATATTAAGCAAGTCTCAAAACATGCAACCAAATTCTACTGGTCACTAAACAAAATTCACTTTGTCGTAAACTCATCCTCCTTTAAAGGATTCTATTGTAAACACAGTGCAAAATTAAGATTTAAAATTTACTCATGACTGGTTCTTCATTCCTCTTTCATAAGCCAGCAACTGTGTTCCACAATTCCTTCTGCCTGATTTCATAAATCATGATCTTTAACTTGACTCACATTCTTACAACTATGCTAGTGTATGCAAGTATTAAAACCACAGTTACATGTACTTAATGTGGTAGTTATGGCTTGCCATTTTATGTAGCACAAATATAATTAGTCATATGACAAAACAAGTCATATCACAGCCATACTGTGCAACACACATTAGCCTATAAGATTCGTTAGCTGATACATTTATGACACTGACACAAATGCCATTTGGTGTCATTGATTTAAGGTTTTCCTGTACTTACTGTTTAGATGTATATACTCCCAATAAAACTATCATGACATTATTTCTTCAACTTAGATTTCAAATGTGTTGTCCTCAACAGGAACCTCAATACAAATTTCACTGTAATATCAGATGAAATGATTAAACCATTTCAGTGTTGTCATCTTTTCATACAGAGAGATTTTAACCTGCTTATGTGCATGATACAACATTGGGCCCACTGAACTGTCAAAATCACAGCCAGCTGCATTACCGACCTGCTTGAAAGCTACCTTGCACTTCACCAAAAGCACATACAACATACGTGGATGATAACTTGCTTATACAACACAGTTGCAGAAGCAGCGCATAGAAATATTCTGTATGGTCTACAAGAAACAAGTTCCATGTAAACAGTGTTGCATAAGCCAAGGGAGTGGTAAGTACATTATTGCGGCATACAGACCCACTGCTAAGCAGTGACTCTGTAAACAGTGACTCACACTAGATAACACTCGCAACATACATGCACACAATAATAGACGAACTGTGTTTTCTATGTGGTCTGTGGTGAGATGTTATAACTGCGTGCTCTAGTGAGCTGTAAAGAGTGGAAATAGTGAGTGTTATAGACATCTGTAGTTACGACCTACAAGATGTCACTAAATCAGTTCACCAATCTGAACTCCATCTGCAGTCACACATTCTATGTGACAACTGGTGTCAGAAGTGGTTGGATTGGACACTGCATTGAATTTGATTGTTATACGACCACACTACAAAAATGGAACAAACGATATAACACCTGCTGGCCAAGATAGCAGGAAAAGGTGGTCTCTCACCATGAAAAGATGAGTGCCAGACAAGAATATACAATAGCCAAGATGGATGCCTGTCTAGCAGAAATGTGAAGATTGCGAAATGAGATGACAGCCTGCCAAGAAGTGACAGAGGTCTGTCTGCAGGTCAAGGAGCCAATGTTACTGAAGGCAGTCTGTAGTGATGCATGAGGAAGTCCCCAGGAAAAGGCCACAATGGAAGCTTTTGAATACACCTGGATGGTGATATGCTTGTAGGGTATCTGAGATGAATAGCCTCAAGGAGGGAGCAATGCAGAATGCAGACCCATTGCTAAGCAGTAACTCTGTAAACAGCAGCCGCTGCTGGGTAGTGCCCGCAACAATAGGAGAACTGTATTTTCTATGTGGTGTGCGCTGAGATGTTATAACTAGGAGGACTGGAGCTTAGTCAGTTGACAGTTCTGAGTAGTCTGTGAAGAAAGGGCTTGAGCTTAAGGCACAGGAATAGTCATTGTTGGAGCTTTCGCCAGAAAATTTCTAGTAACAGACTGAGAACACTAGACTGTGTATTTTAGTGAACTGTAAAGCGTGGAAATGGTGAGTGTTATAGTTATTTGTAGTTATGACCTGTAAGCGGTAAATAATCTATTCACCAGTCCAAACCCCATCTATAGTCACACATACTAAATTAAATTCACTTAGTGGGGGGTGGAGTCCAACTGGATCCACTCAGCATGCCGGCCACTGATTGGCCTATTGCAGCCTGCCCTGGGTGATTATGATGATGGAGAATTTGGTGGAATCAAGATTGGCAGGGGAAACAGAAGTACTCGGAGAAAACTTGCCCCAGCGCCATTTTGTCCACCACAAATCCCACTTGACCAGACCCGGGATCGAACCAAGGCTGCCGTGATGGGAAGCCAGGGACTAACCGCTTGAGCTATGACGTGGCCTCATCACACATACTAAGTGACACTATTACAATTATATGATATTCATGTGTAACCAGTGGTTTAAATACTCTCAGGAAGCTGTGGATGAATTCAGTGTCTAGCCAGCCTGGTGTGTAGACCAAACAAATTGCTATGTGGTCCTCTACAAGCGTGTTCACACAAGGAGTGGGCTGTCAAACGAAGATGATTTCAAAGTCAAGGTCTGATGCCACTTCATGTCCTGGTTTGAAATAAGTACTACCTAAAAAAGCACTGTGAGTGAGGTAGGGCCACCATAACCTTAGGCAGAAGAGTTACAATGCCTCTACACTTCATCAAGCATTCAGCATCAATAAAATACTATTTTATGTAACCTTTTTGTTGCTGCTTGTTAATTTATCCCACAATACATCAAATCTGCTTACCACTTGGTAAACCTGAGTATCCTTGAAATACTGGGATAATTAGAACTTGTCTTATTTCTAGTAGTTACCAACATTGGTCAACTGAGGTTATAAATAGGGTACAGTTGTCCCTGTTGTTAATTAAGCAGTATGCCATGAAGATATATGGGAGAGTGGAGGTATAGCTCCACCATTCTCGACTGCAGTACTAGATGGAGGTGAGTGTTCAGTTTCACACTCTGGCCTCGGGCCAGGGAAAAACCCCCAGTTCGCACTGGATAGGAAGCTGCATGGGGCCCAGAGTCAGTCTGGACAACAGTTCTTCCCGGAGTGCATCCTGCAAGGACTTAAGTAATAAATTTATATTTTCAAAAGTACTTACTTTCTCTATCTTCCTCTCAATAATTTGACTCAGTTTGGCCAGCACTGGGAAGTGTGGAAGAATCTTAATGAGAATGATAAGTGAATTGCGAATCTGAACATAATCCTTCGAGTCTAGGCAGACAACCATAGCCTTTGTTATTTTATAATGCCACTTGTGGCAAACATGTCGGTAGTTCTCATATCCAACATGGTCATTTGCCTCTGAAAACTGGTTGCTCACACGAAACTTAGTTACAAACCCTGGATAGTTTGAACATTCCTGTAAGAAGAACATAAATTTACAATTCTTACAAGTATCAAAATTGAAGTGAACACGCAAATTTATAATCTCTTAACACTCTATTTTTTTAGATTATTTTGTAACTCCTCCCTAGCTGTAGGACGCAACGCTAAAGCTGTGTATGTGCTTTGTTGCGGTGCTCTTTTGAAGAGCTCTAGTAACAACATGGGTGCATAAAAGACCCAATAGTGGTGTGAGTGCTTGGGCAAACATGTTAGGCTAACTATTAATTTCTGCTACTAACCTTTTCAAAGGTAGCTTTCTCAGAATGCCACCTCATAACAGTTTCCAGCATGGCACATAGAAATCGACCATAGCGATTAGCCTCATTTTCAGTGCATGATGTTACTGAATATGTGATATCACAGAAAAGCTGCAAAAGAAGATACATATCCATAAAATCCACATTTCAAGCTTCTCTTGGCAATAAATGAACTGAAGCCACGTGATGGACATCATTCTTGGCAGAAAGAACTATGGCACCACTCTTAACCCCTCACCCTCAGAGTGGAGCGCTGAGTGGTGCTCACGCGCTGTGCTGTCTTTTTCTTCTATCTGTCGAATATATATAAAGCTATTACATTTTCCTCTCAGCAGCCGTGCAGATAAACCTGCAACCTTCAATATAATATGCACTACCAACCTGTTAGATTAAACTTTACTGTTGTTTTCTCCATATAAATATGAGGTAATTTACTGATCTTCACTTCAAAAACTTTTCAAAATGTACCACTGATATCCTATCTGAACAGGAAATTTTCAAATTTTGTACATATCAGACCAGAATACTGCAATAGATGAGTCTTTAATAATGTGGAGAGGGAGGCTTTCGTTCTAACATTGATGTCACTGACATTTAGAATTAAGTCTTATGACCTTTGTGAATCCAGCTCTGACTATCTTTGATTCTTTATTATTTATACTGGAAGAGACACCAGATTTCAGTCAACACTGATATCTCAGGAGAAGAGTAAAACAGCAGCTGTTGTGTTGACTCTTGTGGAACCATTGCTTCATAAAGAGCACACAATGTGGATGGCCAACTTCTATAATGCACCAGCACTGGCTTTAAAACTAAAATTTATGAACACTGATCATGCTGGTACTCTGCACCTCAACAGGAAAGATGTATCAAAAATGGTGAAAGAAAAGGAAAGGGGAAATTATGGCTCAGCATTCTGGCCCAGTGTCTGTTCTGAAACAGTGGGGGGGGAGTCATCATGATCAAAACATATGACGGTGGAGAAATGAGAAAGGTGAAAACAAAGTCTGTTTCAGTTCTGGACTACAGCTGAAACATGATAGGAGTTCATCTGAAAGATCAGTTCCTTCACACTCACCTTCTAGCAAAAAAAAAGGGGGGGGGGGCACAGCAAAATGTTCAGAAGAATACTCAAAGCCACAATTTTCAACAGTGTTAACTAGTTTTCCATGGTGAGATCTGTGCTACAAAAACATTAAAAGCTTAAAATGGATTAAAAACATATAATATAGAATCTGTGATGACTGGTAGTTCTGTAACTGCTGAAAGGGGAGAAAGAACTTTGTCTTCCGGGACAAATACGATACTGATCCCTTCTGACATCAGACATTGGTGTCCAAAGCAAAAGCGGACATCGGGAAATTCTTGGAGTTTGAGGCTGAAAAAGTAAATGAACTGCAATAAAGTTTTTTTTCCTTTCAATGCAGTTCTGAAAATTAAAGGCTCACATGTGCCTAAAAAATAGCCACTGAATGGATTTTGATGCCCTCTATGGTAACCTGTCAGTTGTCAGAAGGGCAACGTAATTCATTGTGGATTGAGTAACATCATGGAGATATGCATTCCTCAAGGCCATAATTTTTTACTTTCTCAAGAGTCCAGGAGCAAGGCTGAGAAAACCGAACTCTGACAATCTTTAACTCCAATATGAGCATGCAAAGCCATTTCTTCATTCATAAGCTGCCATATCCTTGTGTATTACATTATTTATTCTCGATTCAAGTAACAGTACTTTCAATATCTCAAATATAGCGGTACATGACATGATGATCAGTGAATAATAAATTCACATAAAAACCTCAGTCACAACAGCCAGGCTATGGGCCAAAGTTTGAATTTGGGATTTCCTGAAAGAAAGTGTTCCAACCATTTTGCCACAATGTGTATCTTCATACACCAGTAATTCCTAATACATTAAACCCCTGCTAATCCGGTTACAGTTAATCAGAACTGAAATATGAAAAGTTCCGTTCACAGTCGAGTACATACTTCAAAAGACACACTGGATTCAGGAGCAAGAGAACTTTCATATTGTGCTGAGGACAGCTGGAGAGACTGAAATCACATAAGTCAATATCCTAGATTGGCTTGAGACCCTGGATTTCAGCTTCTGACAAAGGAAGAAATTGCTGCAGTGATATTTTTTGTCTTCTTCAGCATTACCTATATTATCAAATTTTCCATTTATTTGTTTTCTAAGTTATTTTTTGTCTTTTACAGTTTTCGTTTTTCATTAATCCAGATGATCTCTCCCCCCAGTTAATCTGGATTAGAGAGGATTTACTGTACTTGCTTTATTTGAAGTTACAAATAGGTGATACTCACCCTGTCATAGCATAGCAATGTGGAGAAGTTGGCTGTCTTAAGGCTGTGAATAGTGTGCACAAACTTAGCACAGTACACAGCATCTGTAGCTGTGAAAATACATCTTGGGAATAGGCACAGTTGCAGGAACTGTGTGATGGTCTCATTCTTTGCTGATTTGGCTGATCGTGATAAAAACCAAGAATCCTTTTCCTGTAATTAAGCATGCAACAGCAGGTAAGGTTGGTCTCCAGGCATAGCAACTATAGGACACTGACTGAGATATGATTATTATGCATACTGAACTGTAAAGTACAATAAAAGTTCTCAAGACAGCAAGTTTTCAGCCAATATAACTGTGAAGAGGTACAAGTTCGAAAAACTTGACAAGATTCAATGCAAAATTTTCATACTGTTTGACAGATCATTTCATCTTGAATCATGTTCTGAATATTACGTGTTGTAAACATGTTTGCACATTCCTTAGCAAATATCTATATTATTTACTGAGCATTCTAATTAAGGGTTCAGGTGAAGGTAAGCACTAAGCTTTCAACGGGGGAAAACATAAAAAATTTGGAGGCGCCAGGTATCGATCCCGGTACCTCTCGCATGCTAAGCGAGCGCTCTACCATCTGACCTCTGAATGTCCTGCACTTCACAACTTCTCACAATTTATTAACCAATCCCCAGGGAAGCATAAACAAGAAGTTCCACTGTGTTTCTTTCATAACATTTACAATACCTGTTTTAATCTGGCCATAACCTTCTCAACATGTTCATGCTGTTTCTTTTTTTCTTCTTGCAGTTTCTCCATGAGTGCTGTATATCTCTCCTGCTCTTTCTTTCCTTTGCTGGCAGCCTGAAAAAGGGAATAAATCTCTTAGTACGTTCAAAGAACTCTTTTAACAGGACACATCACCTCTACAGCATGTGATCTGTATGTAATAGAAACAATAATCACTAATTTAGCAGCTGCCTTATTTATTTGCATAGGATAGATTTACCTCACCACCATCTGTGAGCAGACTATCTAGAAAATGTGGAAGCCTTGACATTTCACAACACTTTGGGCCTCCACGGCCTGTTACAGGGATAGCTTTACCTCACCACCATCCGTGAGCAGACTATCTAGAAAATGTGGAAGCCTTGGCATTTCACAACACTATGGGCCTCCAGGGCCTGTTACAGGGATAGCNGTTAATTTTTATTTGTAAAAATTGCCATAGGTATATTGTAGGAAATTCCATTCTCTTTCAGGTGGTTTTTAGTTCGTATTTCTAAGCTGCATAGAATGGAAAATATGTAGTTTTTTCTGAAAGTCTACAATATTAAAAGGGCAATGTCAAATTAACTCCGGCAGCAGCGCAGTCGTGGGGGGTTTAAATGCCGACTCTTAAAGGTTAAAGCTTCAGAAGGAGACACTCATGGGTCATTTCAAGGTACTATTCTAAGACCAAGGAAAATCTAAAAATGTATAGTCAGCAAAACAGCTGATATTCAAACTAGGCACCTCGTGAAAAGAAGTCACAAGCATGACCACATATACAACCCTCTTGGTAAATAAAATAAAATAAAGAAGAAGAAGAAAAAGATGGAGGAGAAGGAGGAGGAGGACAGTGACGCAGTGATAAGAGGAGGAGCCTGCCTTACCATGTCTTTGGAATCCATTACTTGAAGTGACAGTTGTTTGATCTTGTTAATTTCTCGCTGGTAACTGTCATTAGGAACAAACAGGTCATACATTGTCAGGGACCAGAAGGTCACCAGGAACTGAGGTGAGATGTCCTCCCAGACTTTAGGAGGATGCAATGGCCGAACTGAAGCCACAATAGGGCTCATAACTTCACCAGCAGCCTCACAATATTTCAGGTGTTTTGCAGAAGGTGATAATTTCTTGCAGTTTGGATCTGCCTTGCGTAATGCATCATACTTCAGCTGAAAGTAAATAAGAAAAACCATGTCCAGTTAAATTTGAACAAAAACACACTGTATTCCATCATTCACTCCCAAACACTAGTTACTGTCTATATAATAGGTGAACGCAGCAATTACTACACAAATGTAGGACAATGTTTTACATACATGTTCATAATTCTTTTGCTTGCTTACTATTTTAGCTATATGTATAACATAAACTCTGTCGTAAAAGCCACACTTTATTGTAGTTCTTGTTCCCCTTCTTTCACACTACATGTTTCGGCCACCATCAGGTGTATTTCACTTCACACAGCTGTCACACTGCACTCAATATTAATATTTAAACTCCAGATTTCCAATTGTTCATTGCTCTGTCATCAATCGGCACCCAATATTTCAGAACTCTCCTTGTTGGTTTTGTCAATTATATTTAAAATCTTTATTATATTGGCTCGTCGATTAGTTTAAAATTTTAAATTCACAATTTAGCTTTAATATTTAAAAACAAAGATCACAGAGATACTTGCGCTGTGCTTTTATGTGCTGCAGCGGCTACCTCTTGCCTTCAGCACAGTTCGGGTGTTATGTGTTGTGTTTCTTCAATACGTATTGAAACGTATTGAAGAAAAGCAGTGGCATGCACACAGAGAGCCCGCAACTACCTCACCCAGTGTCAAGGTTAAAAATGCACAAGAGCTTTATTTCCAGTCCTTCATGCCTAGGTGTGTGTGGTGCTGAGATTCAAACACAACTTCACCTTAATTGTTGCGTACTCCAACATCATTACCCAGCCTTCCTGTAATCCCCCCTGCTCAGGTATGCACCAATTCTGTTGTTGTTCTTTACTGTCATAACGATATATAGCACCAGCTTCCTAAAAGAAAAGCGCAAACTTCTTCAAGAAGCAACAAAGCAAGAACTTGCGCTCTCTTTATTGGGAAGCAAGAAGCAAAACGGGTTAAATGATCCAAACTGCAGCTATTGGAAACCAACCATGATAAAGTGAAGAAAATCCACAAAATTATCAGAGCCTTCCTATATCTCAGCACTGATATTATTGTATATATTAATTTCACCACTTTCACCTGCTTTTCCACTTGTACCATTTTCCACATCACCATTACACGTGGGAGGGCACCTCTTTATATAAAATACAACTGCCTTTTCGTTATGATGGACTGTTCTGTCCTCACCATTAAACAGGTTGACAATATAAGTAATTAAATAAAACTCACATTAATAGCATGTGTGAACATGGGTCGCGCCAAGAAGAAAGCAACATCGGCATGAATGTGATAGTCTGCCAGCATGCTGTGGATAGTGGGCAACTTTGTCACATATTCTTCCATTGATAATGTGGAACCAAGAAATGTACCGAACTGCACCAATGTATCCTGGCACTAGAGAAAGATAATATAAAAATATAAGAAATCGGAAAATTAGTTCGTTGCATAATTTTTCAAGTTAGGATCAGACGGAGCAGTAACAAGAAGTAACTTTTTTTATTGCTAGTGGGGTGGGACTAAATCCCTTGTACTGTGGCCACTTCTGGCCTATTGTATCAGACCCAGATGATAGGTGAGGGTGATTGTGAAGCAATTGGTGGAATGAAGATTGGCAGGGGAAACCGAAGTACTCGGAGAAAACCTGCCCCCAGCGCCACTTTGTCCACCACAAATCCCACTTGACCAGACCTGGGATTGAACCCGGGCAGCCGCGATGGGAAGCCAATGACTAACCGCTTGAGCTATGGCACATCCTAAGAATGTAACATATTCTTAATGCATTCAAAGGCAATCCTCAGCTTTCTATCTTGAAACTTATTATCACAATGGAATAAACGAAGAGATATCCACATTCATATGGTCCAGACTAGCGAGGCTTTATTGTACATCATTTGGAATATCATGAAATCTTGAGCTACAGTTCGGTGCTGCCATGCACAAAAGATTGAGAAACACTGACAGGATTTTGGAAATTGACAAATAAATGAGCAAAAATATTTGTTGTTCTACATTCACAGATCAACAAATGCCAGGTATGTCACCATACAAATAAAAATATAATTCACCTGGAATCTGAACATTTTACCACATAACACACAGATATTTATACAGCACAGAATAATTTTCTTGTTGTCAGGCACAATTTTTTCACTCATCGTAAACAAATAAGCATATCCGTCGAGTCTTACTTATATACCTTGCACATGACTGATTTCATTGCAAGTATCAATAAAACTTCACTTGTTCCTTCAAAACGTATTTTCAATAATACAAGGTGAAAGCCAAATCACAGAGACTTTTCATACCTGATCATACAATTTGCCAACAAGTTTCAGATGACTCTTGTCTGTTTCCTTGTACACAACACAGTATCTCTGCTGAGCCATAAGAAGACATAAAGCCACAGCCAAATTTTGCTCCGACAGTGCTTCTTTCAACCTCTGTGACGACTTTTTTGTGTTCCTCACCTGGCTGAAGTATCCAGCCTAAAAATTTAAACAAATAATAATTTTAAGTCATCAAGTTCTCTCCATGCATACTGCAGCCAAGCCAGGGGCTTTAACTAAGCAAGTTCTATGAGGTGTTCATGTTGCCAGTCATCTGTGCCATATAAAATGCTCTGCATCCTTGACAGGCAATGAAGATGATGAATTAACATAAAATTCTTAAAACATCACAGCAAATAGCATTTATTATAAAATATCTAACAAGTGTGTGACAACTCCACAGATATTTGAATTGTACTGCCTTCTGGGATGTGCCACTGTATAGTTAGGCAGAAGGTGACCAACACTTCAGAGGAATGTAATTATTCCATCAAAGTGTAAGCCTGCAAGAAGCAAGCAGAGTAGACTGCTATTCTGTTTGCTTGGCTTACCTTCTGATCCTGAAAAGGAGGCGGTACATTTCCTCTGAAACATCAATAAATTTCTGCAAGATAACACAACACCACATCCCAGATGACAGTGCTCTTCACAGTCCGTGCCATAAGAATCGTGGACCTCAATCCAAATATTTCCTTCCGCAATGAATTTTATCTGAAGGCAGCTGGTATGACAATGACTGACTGAAAAGTTAAGCTGGCATTAACTTTATGGATGCTAATTTCATGACTGAATGGCATGGAATTTAGTTCACAGCTGCATGTGTGAAAGTATGAGATCTCATGTGACCTATATTCCCCACTTTCCCATAATCCCAAACCCAATATACCTCTCCTTTCAGCAGATCTCCACCAGCCATTGCTTCTAGCTGTTCTGGTGTCATCTCCTCTGCTGCTTCAATTCCAGCCATCTTTTGCACAATCTCCTTCAGAATCAGCAGATCCAAACTATAAATGAAAAAGAAACATTATAGGGACCGTCATGTCTAAAGTAGACAATGTCCCATGTATTGTTTTCCATCAACTAGTTTCTCACAAGTGGCTCCATTGCACATCTCAAATTAGACAATGAAAAAGGAAATGAACAATGACTAGACTTACATTGTTTTGTATTACTTAGGTTATCTTCCAAGTTACAAACAACTAACTGTGCAAAGCAATGACAACAATTTTAAAAATCTGACAGGATAATTTTTTCTTGTTACAAGATGTGGGACAGTGCAATGGCAATACTTAACATGAATTGCAATAAGTTCAGCCAAAATAATTCAAGTGCTTTAGTCAGAGGGAGTTCATTTTCATAATCTACAGCATTTTTAATGACTTACGTCCTATTTTCATATTTCCTACAAATACTGTGAAACATATAACTGAATTTATTAATACAGTATTTGAGAATTAAATTTCCATTCTGTGAATATACTTAAAAAGTTGTTTGCAGATTTCATACACAACTGGTTCTTTCCCTACAACAGCCATGAGCTTCTTTTCTGTAGACACAGGAGTCTCAAATTTCATACCTCTTTTGCGCTTTTAGTTGGTTGGCAACATACTGTAACAGTCCTGTAAGTTCAATGTTGTACTTCTTGAAAATTGCACCACAGAAGGAGGCAAGGCTTTGCAGCCACAAGGAGATAGATGTTCCATCATGTTTGAAACGATCACGGTCTGCCGATGCCAAGGACTCAACGAGACAGTAGCCCAGTACATCATACGACAGACTTGTCAGATACTTTAATGAGTCTACAACAGGATTGATGAGGTTGTCATAGATCTGGATCTGAACCAGAACCTGGAAACATAATAAACAAAACATGTTACATGTTCCTTCACAAAAGGGGCAGAGTGTGTTACAAAAGACTTCAATTTCTTCTATGCATAACATGCGTATTTTTAAAACTGTTCAGATTATACAGTGCTGAATGATCGGTAAACTATAAATTTGAAAGGATGCTGAAGAACATGGCCATGGCATAATTTAATGTCTTATTCTGGTATTTTTCTTTTGGAGTGAATGAATAAAACCATGAAAAATCCTCGGTCAGGATAGTTCATCACCTTGTTGAGGTTTGAACACAGGACCTCCGAAGTATAACGCAGAGGTGCTAAGCACTAAACAATATTCAGCTCTCTTTCGCACACTAGAACCGAGGGAGTACATTCGAGACTTTTGTTTCTTCTTATCATTTAATGATACTTCAGAGGTGCTAAGCACTAAACAATATTCAGCTCTCTTTCGCACACTAGAACCGAGGGAGTACATTCGAGACTTTTGTTTCTTCTTATCATTTAATGATACTTCAGCTCCATAGGTAAGTAAGTAAATAAGTAGTCATATAAAAAGTACAATTCTAAAGTCCGACATACATAGTCAAAGAGGAATCCAGGTGAGCAATGTGTAAGTTTCCCTATGAGTCTTCCAACAGGTTTAATATTTTCCTTGCTGACTCTCTTCATGATGGACTTGATTTTCTTCTGAGCTTCACCTCGTTTCCGCAACAATTTTGCATGCTGTTGATATGTATCATTCTTCCAACGGCTGTACAAACAGTATCTGCCACCAAAGTAGAAGATTAAATAAGGACACATAATTTCAAGTTTCTTTATTTGAACTGTAAATGAGATATGAAATATCTTGGAATTTTGAATATATAAATAGATTAAACATTTAATTAGCTATGCCGCTAGTGAATCGCGTCTGTCACCTGGCGGGTCGCTATTTTTAGCCAGCTACAGACAGAGCGTTCTCGTTATCTCGACACCTGAGATGTGCCTAAGGTGGGGAGGGTTGGTATGCCCGGCACGGTTCACAACAGAGCGGCAGCCTATGTTGCGGGAAGCGGTGGCATTTTCGAAAATCGGCTTTAAGCACCAATAAATTCAAATTAAAGGTAACTTCACGAAGTTAACTTTACATTCATACTTTAAATGTATCATGTATTATGCTGGTTTATTATTTTGTTCCGTTTATTGTCAGTAATCGTTACCTTCAATTCTGAGTTTAAAACGGTCATAACTCTGTAACCGTCCAAAATCGGACACATGTTTATATGAACTTTTTTGATCACAAAGACATAGGAAATCACCTCCTGCAGTTATGTCCTAAAGTCGTGAAACACTCTGTATATCCAAGGAAATACAATAGTTACAATCGCTATGTGCTCAATGTCCATTCTGAAAGAGAACTACTACTTTATGTCATGGCATGCTACTATTTGATTTTGGTCAGATTTCTTTAGTGTGGGCAAAGCACCATACAAACAACTTCATATACAGGAGCATATGTATTAATATCCTTTTTTCCTTATGGGAAGTCTTCATCTTTTTCTGTAAAACCAAACCTAAATATAACATATTTCCATGCAAGAAACTGAATATCAAAATTTTGTAAACAAACATAACTTCTGGGCTCTGTGAAGGCATAAGGAGCAGGGGTTACAATGTCCTATGTAAGATTCAGTTCAAGTACCTTTGACTAAAGAATACAGGAATAACAATGTTTTCAAAAGGGTAACTTTAGAAGTTATGTTGTAACATTTTTCGTTCGACAATCTCACACAATTAGAAAAATCATCTGGTTACTGTCATGTTTTTGGGGTGTGTGATTATAGATAGGACATGAATTTATTGATCACTTGTATACACCAATCACAATTACACTTTACAGATCACTGATACACACAGACTAGTGTCCTCAGCCTATTATAGTCTTCACTAGCCACTTCCTGGCAATGGACTTAACACAGGAACTATAACAGTCTCAATGCATTACACTCAAAATATCACACATAAAGAGTAATCACACCCGCACTCTTGCAACTAAATCTTTTATTCACAGCCTCCCATACAGAACTCCAGTGAACTGCCAACTCTCGACTGACTGACTCACGCACCAACCATTTCACTTCACTTCACTCAACTACTCAACTTAATTGTCATTGGGGGGGGGCTGCATTATTAGCAGCCACTACCTAGCAATGACTACTGAGCAAACAAAAGACTTTGCATGTGTTGTGACTAGTGATTTAGAGTGTGTATATCAGTGACACTGTTAGTTGTAGTTATGAGATATAAGTATTCAATAAATCAAATTATTAACCCAAACCCCATGTCTAGTAACTATCACGTGACAATATCATATTTAGCAAGCCCTTCAAAAAACTTGTTACTGTCTCATTTTATACATTTATGAGATTGTAACTTGCTGGATTGCTTGCCAATCTAACGTGCCTTTACTACTGAGTTTACATGCAAGAAGCCATCAATCCATTACCATACTAAAAAAGTGATATTTTTAGTTTTAATGTTAATTTCAAGCCAAACTATATATTTTTAATTTAAGTTGCTCAGATATGAAACACCTTTGCTGTTCCTGTTTGTAATATGTCACTCTTCTACCAGGAGACAGCAGATTGTTCAAACTGAAATTAGCATTTATAAAACTGCTTACTATAAGACTATTCAGTCTGAACTATGTGAAACTAACCTGCACTGGTAAGGATACAGCTTGATGATGTTCCATACCTCTTCTGCTATACAGCAGTTACAGTCCATGTAGGAGAGAGAGGGAAGAATGACTTCATCAAGAAGTGTAATAATGTCATAATACATACTACTTTCACCCTCTGGGGTGGCCTGCTGGTTTTCACCACACCCCTTAAAAAACAAACAATAGCATATTACAAATTGAAAGTTTCATCTGAAATTAACAAAAGCTCCTGAGAAGAGTTTATGATGCTGTTATTTCCTTTAATTCTTTAACCTATATTACTTTATTTTCCCAAATACCATACACATTTCTTAAGAAATTGGGACATGGAGCTCATTTGAGATGAGGTTGGCATGCTACTCATTCCAAGTACCATCTTAACTTTCATAATGTCCTCCTGTGTACCCATGCACCAAACAATGCCCACCCACTATGTACAACAGATGACAACTGTTTCCCATCATTTTTATTTCCAACTTCACTTCTCATAGCTCCAGATTAATTTCTGTAAAAATGAAAGAACTGATAATTTGGTATTTTTGTATTAGACGAAAAAAGTACACAAAAATGGTCTAGACTTTGCCCATCCAACCTTCAAATCTTACAAGAGGTGCCTTCTTATCCAGTAAATGGATTTGTTTATATATGTACAGTCTTCAGATTCTGAATTAGAATTAACAAGTTTTGACACAGTTATAATTCCCTTATTTAATACTTAGTCTCATCCACTATATCCATAAGGTTAATCAACTGCTCTACTTATTATATATTTATATATACAGGGTTATTCATAAGTCCATGAAATATTTTGAAAATTTACAATAAATAAACTACACAATGGATACCAAATTTTATTACATTGAAATAGAGATAAACTCACCAATTTTTTTTTACACAGTTCACAGATGCTCAATGTGTGCACCTTTGCTGATATGGCAGACATCTATGCAATAATCCATTTTGTCCCACACCCTGTCAGGATATCGCGGCTGACCAGAGCGACAGCAGCGGTGATACGGTTGCGAAGATCCCTGAGATTAGCAGGAAATGGAGGCACAAAGACAGTATCCTTCACAAACCCCCAGAAGAAAAAGTCACATGAGGTTAAATCTGGGGACCGGGGTGGCCATCGCATTAACGCATCATCTTCTTGACCTGTGTGTCCTATCTACCTTTGTGGCAAAATTTGATTGAGATACCCTCGCACGTCTTTGTGGTAGTGGAGATTCATTCTCTATCGTCGTAAGAATTACCATGATCCGATGCATAGTTTACTTGTTGTGAATTTTAAAAATGTTTCATGAACTTATGAATAACCCTGTATTTTGGAATGTCACTTATAAATTTAGCAAGTCCCTTGACATCCCATAAATTTTGCATTTTTAACATTTCCATCAATGAATATAAAGTTTTCTTTTCTTATTTTTCTTGAGTATGTTAATTCAGCTCTTTCTTTTGCTACGTTCCAATATCACAAACTGCTGATGGTAATACAGTCAACTCTCGATTATCCGGGGGCGGATTAACCGGTTTGCGGCTTAACCGGGGCTTTTTTTTTTAAGTTTATATGTTGTTTAATATTCATTCACTTTTGTTTCACATGGTGAGTTTAACACTATTTTCGCACTAGTGTGAACCGAGCTCTGCATTATTTCGTCCCGTTATGCGAACACAATGTTCTAGGGTGGGGGTGAAAGAATGCAAGAATTTTTGGAAAGTTTCAAGGACAAATACACCGCCCCAGGTTATTTAACGGTACCATCTCAGTGTGAGAGTGCATTGTGAAAGTAAGTATCAGTTTCTTAATATAGATCTTCAAGTGCGTTAGCAAAATGTCGGGGTTTAAAAGGAAGCGTGTTGTGTTAAGTATTCAACAGAAACTTGAAATTATCAATCAGCTGGAAAAAGGAGCTGTAGTTAAACAATTAGCAATGCAATACGGTATTGGAGAACAAACTGTTCGTGATTTGAAAAAACAAAAGAATGAGTTAATTTCCTTTGCTTCGTCTTCTAATTCAAGCGGAATGAAGAAGAGAAAAACCATGAAGAAATCAACATACGATGATCTCGACAAAGCGATGCTGACCTGGTTTAATCAACTAAGGGCACAGGGAACAACAATAACAGGACCAGTTTGTGCTAAACAAGCTAAATATTTTTTCGAAGCACTTGAACTAGAAGGGAGTTTTGACGCTTCTTCCGGTTGGCTAACACGTTTCAAGCAGCGTCATGGAATACGAGAAATCAGTATTCAAGGTGAGAAATTGTCAGGGGACTTGTCAGCATCAGATCAATTTTGCACCAATTTTGATAGTTTTGTGAAAAGTGAAAATCTGCTGCCAGAACAAATCTATAATGCCGATGAAACGGGTCTTTATTGGAAATGCTTGCCAACCAGAACATTGGCATTTCAAAATGAAAGACAGGCTCCAGGTCACAAATCCAGTAAGGAGAGATTGACAGTCTTGTGCTGTTCTAATGCATCAGGAACACACAAACTAATACCAGTAGTTATCGGCAAAGCGAAAAGACCACGCTCTTTTAAAGGAACAGTAGCTTCAAGTCTGCCTATCCATTATTTTAACCAGAAAGTAGCTTGGATGAATAGAGCGATATTTAAAGAATGGTTTGATTTTAAATTCGTGCCTCAAGTTCGTGACCATCTAAAATCCCAAGGCCTACCTGAGAAAGCTGTGCTCCTCATTGACAATGCGCCCTCACATCCTAACGAAAGTCTCCTGAGGTCAGATGATGGAAATATTTTTGTGAAATATTTTCCCGCTAATGTTACCGCACTTATCCAACCAATGGATCAAGGAGTTATCTCAAGTATGAAGAGAATCTACAGATCAAATTTGCTACAAAAGTACATCGATGAAGGCAATGATCTGACGTGTTTCTGGAAGTCCTTTTCAGTATTAGATGCCATATACGAGATTTCAACAGCGTGGGATACAGTAAAGCCATCTGTATTGAAAAATTCATGGAAGAAACTGATGCCTTTCATCACTAATGAAGATGACGAAATCCATGGATTCACTGGATTCAGTGAAAATGAGATAGCCATAAAATTGACAAAAGTGGCTAACCAAGTTCATGGTGGTGAAGAAGTCAACGAGGAAAATATAAGAGAGTGGTTTAACTGTGACTCGTGTGAACCGGGCTTCGAAATGTTAAGCAGTGACGAAATCGTAACTTCAATGGGGGTGCAGCCAGAAGAGCGGGAAGAAAGTGAGAATGAGGAAGAGGTGGACAGTGTTGCCAGTAAGAAAGTATCACATGGTGCTGCGCTTAATCATTTGGAATCCTTACTAGACTATCTTGAGAGTGAAGAGGACAGTTTATTAAGTGACAAGCTAATATTACGTAGGCTTCGTACGGATATCCGTAAAAAGGAAAATGCCGCGAAAAAGCAAAAGACAGTATTAAATTATTTTAAGTGTTAAGTGTGACCGTAAAAAGTGCTGGATGTTGTTGAACAGTGATTGAAATAACTAATTCATACTGAGTGTAATGTAAAGAAAGTATTAAATAGGCCATGAGATGACATAGAAATGAGGATGAATAAATTTAAATACAGGTAGGTCTATAGTATTATGAAGGTATTAAAAGGTAAAAGGTAAAGTTGTTCCTCTGCTCAACGAATTAAGCCCTACGCCATTAAGGCGTGTGGGGGAGTGGATGTATAGATCCAAATTTTCTTGACCTCGGCACTAGTTGGAGGTGAGTGGTCAGCTTCACGCCCCGGCCGCTTTACCCCCGGGGAAAGAGCCCCCGGTACCCATTGGATAGGAGGTTGGATGGACCCCAGAGCCGGTCTGGACGATTTGGAGAAGTTAAAATTCTTGACCCTACCGGGACTCGAACTCCGACCCTTCACAGTCGTCCAGCCCGTATAATAAAATTTGGCTTAACCGGGTTTTCGATTAACCGTGACTTCCATCCCCACCATTAGCCCGGATAATCGAGAGTTGACTGTATTTCCTTTCCTTGCCAGGCTCTGTCTGAGGTTGACTGCTTCTCGATCTACTTATCAACACCATCACTTGTCTGTTTATTCTGATGGCTTTAATCTATGGCTTATTGCTTTTACTGTAGTACTTGTTGAAGTAACTGATGACCTTTTCTTTACCAGTTCCCAGACAGAATGAATGGAACTCCTGTAAACATTTCCAATAGACTTTCATGTCTGATGATGGAAATAAAAACTGCAAGTCTTTCCCATTATTGATCGCATCCTTGACTCCCGAGCCTGCTTTTTCATTTATTTAGATATCACAATGAGCCAGAATCCAGGACTTGAATATTCTGCCTATCAGCTCGAGCTCTCTGATTCTGTTCCTCAAATCCCATGCAAGGCATGATGTACTGTTAATTTTTGGACTGCCTCCCTTAACACCTACATTCAGAACTAAGAGTCTGAAAAGACTACAAACATGCCAGGATCATAGTTTTCAATCATTTTCAATGTTTCAGTTATAGCTAACACCTCTCCTGTGAAGACTCCTGAACACGACACATAAGTAGTACCTGGGTAAGTGCAGCTTTTGCTAGTCGAAGAACCTTGTACATAAGCACTGGGTCATAATGCATTGAAGGTCCTAGAGCTAGCAACATTGGGATTACATACTCGCGCAGTTCCACAAAAGTGTGTGCTGGCTTTGGTGCCAATGGATTGTCAAGCACGGGCACAGGGCGCCCCACAATCTTCTCTGCCAGGCCACAATTTCTGAAGAACAACATCATTTGTCAAAACAAATTTAACAAATAAAAGTAAAGCTGTCCCTGTACTTATCTAATTAAGCACTACGCCATGAAGATGTATGGGGGAGTGGATGTATAGATCCACATTTTCTTGACCTCGGCATTAGTCGGAGGTGAGTTGTCAGCTTCACACCCTGGCCACTTTATCCCTGGAGAAAGAGCACCCAGTACCCATTGGATAGGAGGATGGGTGGTCCACAGAGCCAATCTGGATGACACAGTGAAGAGAAAATTCCTGACCCTACCAGGACTCGAACTCCGAGCCTTCAGTTGTCCAGTCCGTAGGCAGTCACTATACTGACTTTGCTATGCTGGCTCCCAAAACTAACCACTGTAAGACTCAAATGTGTCAACATGAAAACTGAACTCTTTCATTCTGGGACCCATAAAATCTGTCGAGATTGATACAGAGAATATTGCAGATGAAGGAAGTAGCTAATCATATGGTTAATGCATTCAGTTACAGATATCTTTAGCGTATATACATTAAAGCAGGCACACTATGGCCCTGAGGTTGACTTAGCCTCTAACAGAAATGAGTACCAGGAATCTTCCTGAGGGAGTAAAGGGCGGTCGGAGCATAAGGCTGACAACCTAACCACCATCTGTGAGCCGACTGTCTAGAGAAAATGTGGGAACCTCAACATCTCACAACCCTATGTGCTTCCACGGCCTGTTACAGGGATACCTCTACTTTATATACATTAAAGTTGAAATAAAGTGTACAACACAGATATGAGAGTAACACATATCATCATTTACTCTCCTTACAATGACTCTGAAGAAATAACATCTTACAATGTGCTACAGAAGCTTCTGCACATGGTAGCGTATTTTGTTGAGACACTATGATACAAGCCAGAAGGTTGATCTGTCCCGCTGAAACCCCACTGATGATCCCCAACAATTTCATGCATGGACTTAATAAAAAATGGATAAAATTTTGTATTAATTTGATAACAGTGATATCCTCCAATAATTACTTCAATCAGTTTTATCACCCTTCTTGTGGACTTGTACAATGATAGACTCCTTCCACAGATCAGGCAATTTTTCCATATTCCAAACAGAATTAATCAGCTTATGGATCTTAGAATGCAATAGTTTGCCTCCTGCTTGAATTTGATCACTACCAGGCGGCTTATACCTTTCCAGCTTTGCAATAGCACTTTCAACCTCAAAAGGGCTAGGATCAGGTACCAACAGCTCAGCTGTATGGATTTCTGTCTGCCTGACATCACTGACCCTACGTACATTGAATAACTGAGAGTAGCTCCTCCACCTATTCAAAATGTCGTGGGAATCTGCAAGCAGATCACCATTCTCATCCTTCACTAAGTTACTTCTAGGTTGGTAACCCCCTTCTTAAAGTCATTTATTCCTCTATACAGTGACACTACCTAAAAATATTTTTTCCTGTATGTAATAAAATACATGTTCATAATATCAAAAAATGTTTAAAACAAAAGCTATAGGTCTTAATGACAGTTATATTTTATGCACCTATTTGATTATTTATGAGAAAAGCAATACTTTTATTTGAGCTCTATAGTGTAGGGTCATGTTTAATTTAGACAAACCAAGATTAAATTTGTGTGACAGAATTTTAATTAGATTTCCTACACTCAGTTTCACCAAGATCTTATCAGTAAGTGTGGAAATGAGACATTCAGACAGATACACATTTCCTCCATTATGCATTAGTGTATATATATTTCATACTGACACCTGGATAGGAAAATCCTAACTTGCACCAATATATAGTACTGTAAGATTACTGTTTTATTTTGGTAAAGATCTGCTGGCGATACTGATACTATCTAGGAAAAGGCACCATGACGCAATTGCGTTAAATGGTGTGGTTAAAATTCGAGTGAGAGGGGAGGTAGGATATTGTCTGATGTTTCAAGTCAGAAAAGAAGCAAAAAACGAGGAAGAGCTCAGAATATGGTTTTTGATTTGGAAATATAATGGAAAAGAATCCATCCAGGCTCTTTTATGAAAGTCACCAAAATGTAACACAAGACAGCAAAAGATAGTGGGTCTCATTTTGGGTATTAAAAATCTTAATTTGTATGAATGTAATGTGGACTACCTACTTTCTGTACACAGGTTCCATGACTGAATGCAGTAACTGACACAGAGCACGTGCCACAGGTGGCTGCTCCAATACACAATGTTCTGGTAACCGCTTCGTAAGCTGTTTGGCGTGATTCCAGTCTCCAACCTTCAGCAAAGCTTCACAAAGACCAAATTTCTGGTTTGCTGCATACTGCATTAAAAAGATATACAATCAAGTTAAATGCCACTGGTATCCTTTGACTCAAAGCTGTCAATGCCTTCAGATGAAACAACAACATTTAAAAAGGATATAATACAGAGTTTCCTGGATAAGAACTTCCCAGATATTAAGATTTCCTGTGTAAGAAGTTGGTTTTTTAAGTCCTGCCAAAATTCCCACAAGGATGATGTTAAGTTTTCTTGTATATAAATATCATGTCTAAAAATATTTCCTGCTTTAGCAGTTAAATTTCTTCCAATTTTTATACAAAAAATACTCACATTTAATACGTTTAATGTTTAAAATAACACCGATGACTTGCTCAAAATGGGCACATTTTTTATCATAATATGTTTAAAAGGCTTTACAATTATCATTAATTTCCCAATCATTCAACTGTAACATGGACGATAATTGACTGTGGGCCACTTCATGACTTGCATTTGACCAGCTGCATGGTTTCATTATTCACTTTTTACTAAATGCGGCATATCCCTGAACATCTTTCTCTGCTCATTCAATTTACAGCAATTGTTTCATCACCTGGAAAGCTTGATGTTACGTGCATCCAAGTGCTTTTATAAGGTTACTAAGAACAAAGAACTGTTGACATTAAGTGTGTTGTGGTGCAAAAGCAAGTGAAATGAAATATAGTGGTAGTTCCAATAAAATGGAAAACATTGTGTTTTTAGGACATACTTAATATTATGCAGAAAGGGGAAGAAAATCTGAATAAAAGTGTTCAGATTTCAAACAATTTTTAGGCAATCCAAACTCAAAACAAAGACAGCACACACACATACCCAGCAGGCCCAGCAGCATAACACACACAGTCACAGGAGCAAGACACAACACAAAGCACAATACACATATGAAAATAGGAAGAATACTCCGATAGAAGAGGATAGGTGTGACTCGCATATTGAGATACGGCACAAGGATGACAAATCCTGAACAGTTTTAATATTTAAAATTTATCATTATATATGACGAATATATATTTTAGTTATTTTAGTATAAAGACAACAGGGCATGCAATGGAATAGTTCGACGTACATAGAAAAGCACCTGAAGATGGCACTTTAGTGCTGAAACATGTAGTGCAAGAGAGAAGAGTAAGGTGAATAAATGTATGCACTGTAAGACGGTCAGAATAAATCATGGACAATCCATTATACTAGTGATGTCTTAATCTTTTACTCCTATAATATAAACTCATTCTGATGTTGCCACTGTATTTCATAGTAGCTCTGATAATACAGATTTTTGTTTTTCATAACCGAAATATTACGAAACCATGTGCCTGGGATCAAACACAGACTTGGGTACAAAAAATTAACCTAATTTTACATTTTCTACAAGAAGTTTCCCACTTATGATGTGTATTCTTTGCTGGTTCCCTGAAAAAACTGTATTGACTATAGAAAGAATTAATATTCAATGCAATGTAATGATTCAAAAGTACTGGGGCTGTACAAACATCAATGTAGTAAAACTGATTAAACCATTAACACTTTTATTGATTTTAAAAAATTTCATTGTGTCAACAACCCCCTTACTTCCAATTTATAACACAACAGGATGGAAAAAATAAACAATATAATGATAACTCTTTACTCTCACAGCATTTTTTCCAAAAAATTTCCAACATTCAATCCTGGATATCACATATCTGGTCAGTGAATGACGTTTAACTTTATGGAGAACTAGTCAACGACATAATCCCAAAAGGGGGAGAGTATGGGATGAATGAAAGCATGGCAGTGATGAGAAATACACAAGAACATCCATGGCATATAAGCATACACATTCCAAACGACGAGCCCAGTGTTCATTTGACCCAAGCCTGAACACATCTTACACTGTGAAGCCACTAAGCCGTAACAATAATAAACAAATGCACTGGAAAAATTAGGACTCTCTCCAATATTGCAATCTGATTCATTACCTTCTCCTGGACATTCTCTTTCTCCTCAACTGGCTCCTCTTTATCTTTGTCCTTTGTAGAGATAATGCTGAGTTTTCTTACATATTCCTTAGCTTCTTTCATATCCTTTTCCCATTCTTTATGAATAACTTTGTCATCAGGAGTCAACTACAGAAAGAGACATTACAAAATAAATGGCTTAAAAAAGATTTCTGAGGAAAATGTTGAGTGTTGTTCTACAGAACACACAGCAAAATGACTGTAATGACATCACCTCTACTGCTGAAAACAAAAATGTGCTATAGAAAACCGCTGAGATTAATGTATTTATTCAAGCATTGTGAGATTCAAAGAAGCGCAGATGAGGTAGTGACACTATTGCATATTTCTCATGTAGAAACCCAGTCATGATACCTGCACTCACAAGGGGTATCACTTAATTCACACCTTCCAATTCAACTCCAGTTCTGTAGTATGGCAGCGGACCCTAAACTGACTTCCTGCCCAAAATATTCAGTCCAGCCCTAGCACAATGTGTACAGCTTGACTACAGCAAAATATCAGCAAACTTTCAACTCTCATGGTCCCCTCTCATTCTCAAATATGAATGAAAGAAAGAAAGAAAGAAAAGACTACATGCAAAAAGTTAATAAAAAGTAAATTTTAATTTTACAACATCCAAAGCCAAAAACAGTCACCTCAATGGAAACCACATGTACTGTATGTAAACACATTCCAAAATGACCTAGTGTGGATAACCTAACAAGTATGGCTCCATTTCTGAAGCTCAAGAACAACACTGATGAATATGAAAAGAAAAATGATGTATTACAATGAAAGAGTGCAGTGTCAATTGCTAATATTTTGGTCAGGTCACAGCAGGGTCCATGACCATACAGCAAAACTGGAGCAGAACTGTCCTTCTGCCTCTCACATCTCCACCAGGGGTGACTGTCTTATAACAGCTTATCTGTCTGGCTACAGACTCTCTCTAAACTCTTCCACTGGGACTGACTGGCTGGTTTTGATTCTCCAGATATAGCCTCTGTGTGGAATCAACACACATGGTAACATGGTATCACATGTTCCACTATAGCGGCGCTGTTCACCTGGTGCTGGACCATGTGGCAACATTGCTTCCCACAGCCCTTCTATTACTGCACGAATCACTGTTGTCATGGAGATGATGTGTTTACCAAGCCACTCCCTAGCAACTACTGTCTCCCTTGCTCCACTATTTCACCTTTCAGGTGTCATGTCACAATATTTTACCAAAAATAAAATACAGCAAACTCTCTGTTATCCAGCATGCATACAGAGTGGGGAGCGCTGGTTACATCACTCTGCTGGGCTCACAAAAAATCTCTTATTTTTGCTTCAGTTCTTGTTTGGGAGTAACACAATCACAAATTCAATTTGTCCTTATTGTAATGGCACCGAGGAAATGCTGGTAGTGGTGGGTGGGAGAACTACTGCATGGTGGGTGATGAACACATGTCCACAACAGACCTGTTTTTTATTTACTTTGAAAAAAGGTAGTTCTTCCAAATTTTTCTTGTTGGATGAGAATTCTGGAAGCATGGCTATGGCATAACTAATAGTTTAATGTGAGAAGCATTCAGGCAAATGAAAAGAAGTTGTATAGTACAGTAACTAGAAAATTAGAATATGATTTTATGTTCCTGTACACTGTCTTTGATACCTCATAGGAACAAACTTATTTTAACAAAGCTAAGGAGCATTACATATATATATAGTTGTACAGATGTAAAATAAATTAATTTTATTTGTATTCTGATATATACACCACATTCAAAAAATGTTCCAAGTTAAAGAAAGTTACAGATTTCTGTGATATACCAAATGCATTATTAATGAACAGTTTCCTTCCAGTTTTTTGCTGTTGACAGCAACATTTTATTTCAATTTCATATATAATACACTTAAAGATCATGGGCCAATATGTAATTCATATAACACTTATTTCAGACTCCCATACACTAAAGAAAAATAAATACTTCTGAACTGTGTAGGAGATAAAATATGAAGATGGATATGATTAATCATGCATTCATTTCATGCACTTTGTGCAAAGAATGTATAAAAACGATACAACTACTTGTCCTTATTTTACTCATAAAATCTTTGATACTCACCCAAGAGTAGATATCATCAAGAGCAATGATATTATGTTGAAGCATAAGGGCAGTGACAAGGTACAGGGATTTTGGTGTTGTCTCTTCTGCATTGTTCTGGTAGAAACAATATTTGAATCCCAACACTTCACACAAAATCTTTGGATCACACATATAGGAACGCAGCAACGGAATAAAAAAATGGTGATGATCAGGACGGCATTCAAAGGATTCCAGTATAATATCCAGAACTCGATTTGGGTCCAAATTAAAACATCCTAGAAAACAAAAAGATTTCAATGTAAGATAAATATTAAGTGTGCTGCATTGCATGATATAAAACCCAGTACAATACAAATAATCCAGTATCATAAACAGTAAAACCTCATTTGGTTCTTTGGAAAGAATCAGATTTAAACACTAGACTGAAGATCTTAACATGAGGAAATTTAGCACTAAGATTATTGATGTGGGATCACTGAAATTGAATATTAAATGAGGGAAAATCTTAAATCAACGAACATTAAAGAGGATTTGGCACCGTGTATATGTGGTGTTAACCGATGTTTTGGAGGAACGTATAGCTTCCATCTACAGGGCAGAAGAAAAAAATATAAGAAATCTGCAAGCGAAGAGACCGTGAGAACAGCTTTTACCGGTTCTCACGGTCTCTTCGCTTGCAGATTTCTTATATTTTTTCTTCTACCCTGAAGATGGAGGTGATATGTTCCTCCGAAACATTGGTTAACACCACATATACACGGTTCCAAATCCCAGAAGACTGCTTTCTTCATAGTCACCGCCGTGAAAGCCTCAAATCTAACATTAAAGAGGGTTTCCATTGTACACTAAATATCTGACATACATTAAATTTAAAATGATACTCCATAAATTCCTACTGTTCTAATTCTCAAAATGACAGATTTTTACTCAACACAGAATGTTCTTCCTTGATTTGTTTACTTCATCATCATCATCATCATCAACAACAAATTCAATTTCAATTCATTTGGTGCAAAATCTAAATTATCAGACTCAGTCTAACACATGGCTGGAAAACAGTTTAATGTTCATAAAAGGTTGTATGACATGCATAACTATAAAACAGTAAGAGAAAAGTTTAGTATGGTCTTCTGGGTTATGACATCATACAGTCTGGTACGTACTTACCAGTGTTTCAGAGGAACTTGCTACCTCAGTTTTCAGGGTACAAGATGGTAGCAAGTTCCTCCATACTGTTGGTAATCACAACAAAACTAAAGTGTCATAACCAGGGCCCGGATTTTGATGACATCTTTTTTTTCCTATGCGATGCTCTTAAATATATAAATCTCGGATATGAGCTGCTGGTTTCAGAAATGTAAATTTTATAGGCAATTTTTTGTCATTTTTAGATTTAAGGTCATTTTTTCATTTTGGGGGTAATTTTTTGGATTTTTAGGAGTTTTTCTTGTCATTTTTGGCCATTTTAGGGAATCTTTCTTCATATGTTTTCTGAAATGTGAATAACATGGAAGCGAAGTGTTCTTTGTTTTCTCCTTTAGGTCATTTTTCTGGATTTTTTTGGCCATTTTTTAAAATATTTTCAGGTCATCAAAATTCAGGCCATGCATATTACATTTTTGGGTCATTTTTAGATATTTTCAGGTCATCAAAATCCGGGCCCTGGTCATAACACAAAATAATCTAAATCTTCATTATCAGAAAAATCACAAATCTCAAGCAAAAAATCCAATGAGGCTGCAGCTGGATGAAACTGAATGAAGAATCAGAAACAAGGCAGCAGTCTGACCGCCAAAATCCATTATTTTAGATCCGAAGAAAATTTTTCACTCCTACAAAATAGAGATGAACTGAAATTTTATAATAAATTAAAATGTTTATAGTATGCATAAAAATACCAGTCAGTACAGGCATTTTGTGTTAAAGAAGTAAAGCTAAATGTATCTTTACAGAGCCCCTTGCTATTTACAAGAGTTCAAAATCCGTGTAATGTACAAATACTTCACCCACAAGCCTTCTAAGTACTGTCAACTAAAATACACACATTTTAAACTGAACTGAATCTCCTTGTATGCAATTACATACATCCACCCACACATACAAGAAGTTATACCTCTGAAAAACCTTGCCCAGTCATATGAATAATTTTCATGTGAATACTATGAGCAAGCACATGCATCCAGACAACTTACTAACACACAAACTGTCACCTGACTTTAAGAATAAAACTCACCTATCAATGATTTAATTACTTCCAAAATATTAGAAGGAGTAACATTCCCAGACACTTCTTGGTTTAACTCTGTAATAAGTTTGGCGTAACCTTCACTTTCTTCCCTAAAGAGGTTGAATTTGCGTTGTTTGTAACTGAAATGAGTAGTCAAATCAATTATCAAGTACAAAATACTACTTCACTTGCATGTTTCCTAAAATATATTGTGGCGCACAGACCCACTGCTGGACAAGTACAGCCACTGCTATGCAACAGGTGGTTAAATATATGGCTGTTTGTGAGCAACAGCTCGATAGACATGTTCCTATAGAAACGATATCTGGGCTATTGCTCAACAACAGTCTATGACAACAATAGAAGAACTGTTGGAGGTGGTGTTTTCTGTTGGGTCTGCCCTTGGCCTATATAGTGAGGACCCCAGGCTGGCTAAGTACCAATCAGTTGAAGGTTGGCAATTCAGTTTAGATCTTCAAGGGAGGCTGAGAGGAGATGGTGATACAGTTGAGTTGGCAGTTGTCAGATGAAAGTCAGTCTGTGAAGAGAAGATTAGGAGGTTGGTGCGAAATGGCTGCCAGCCTGGTCCCCAGTTAATTGCAGGTTGGTAGCTGAGTTGAGCTCTGTAATGAAGGCTGCTGTTCTGCACAGGCAGCTTTCAGGACAGGACATGAGCGTGGGAAGCTGAGAATCTCCACCATTAGAAGCCACTGATAAGGAACAGCCGTTGAAGACACAGCAGGTCTGTCGGAATTTGTGAATTGTGGAGATCAGCAGTGGTGCAGTAATTATGTGTAGTTCTGAGTGGTGTATATAAGTGGTCAATAAATCCATTCTCCAATCCATACCCTGTCTGTGGTCACACCCCTAAAACATGACATTCTGGTGTCAGAAGTGGTCAGACTGGAAACTGCATTGGATCTTGGTCATTAAATCGTCACACTATGGAAATGCAAGAGATGATGGAACTCCTGGTGGCCAAAATGAATGCCAACCTAGAAGAAATGAAAGCCATGCAACAAAAGATAGATGCCAACCAAACAAAAATGGATGCCACCATGAAAGATATATGGGCCAGCCAAAAACACTTGAAAGAAGAAATGCTGGCCAAGACAGACACCAAGACAGACACAAATCAAGAAAAGATGGATGCCTGGAGAGCAGAAATGGGACCATGGTGAAAAGAAACTACGGCCTGCCAAGAAATGATAGAGGCCTGTCTGGAGAGTAAGGAGTCAACTTCACTGGATGTAGAGTCTGAGGCAAAGCATAAAGAGGTCTCTAAGGAAGCAGCTATAGTGAAAACTTTCAGAGCACTGAAGAAGTGACATGGGGACAGGTACGTAGCTGTAAGGCGCCACAGAAAGCTGAAGAAACGGACCCAGGACAGATGACCCAGTGTGCCATTCCTGCATAGCATAAGGATCATGCTCAGAAGAGATGGCGCTATAGTTGTGCTGTCACTTGAAAGTCAGCCTGTAAAGAGAAAACTAGCTGGTTGGTGTGAAATGACCACCAGCCTGGGACCCAGTTAGTTGAGGGTTGGCAGCTGAGTAAAGCTCTGCAAGGAAGGTTGAGAAGAGATGATGCTATAGTTATGCTGAGAGCTGACAGCTGACAAGAGTTCAGTTGCAGGATATTCGCTGGATGGTAAAGACATGAGCACAGACTAGAGAACCTTCACTGCTAAGATCCACTGCCAGGAAATGACTAGTGAAAGCAAACTGAGAAGACCTAATGTGCTAGTAATTTGTTAAGTATGTAGATCAACGATAGTGCTGTAATTACTTGCAGTTCCAAGTTGAGTCAATAAATGTGTTCACCAATCCACACATCTATAACCACACCCCTAAGTCATGACAATATAAAAACAAGTTGTTATTCACTTTGGATGGTTCATTCTAGAAGCCACAGATTAATAGTGAGATTTTCACTTGTGCAGATTCTGAAGAGTTCTGTCATCTGGGATATAACACTCTGTAGCTCACTGGAAGTCACTCGATTCGTTGGGATATGTTGCCTCCATCTTCAGGGTAAACGAATAAGCCAAGCAAAAGACCAGCACGAAGAAGGTAGCAAGCACAGTTTACACATAAATATGACAATGCCATCCAGCAGGCTGAAACCTAATATTACATCTATCATTATACCATTCATATTATCACACCTAACTGACCTGCTATGCTCATTATACAACAAAATATTTCCATGATTGACATTTTTCTAGTCTTCTTCTCCTGTAATGGTCATATCTGGGACAAGGTACCAATCCTACTACTGGACTAGTACTACACGATGACAAAAATATGAAGGTGCTCGTTCTATTTTATTGTACAACTTCTAATTACACCAGCACTTGAAAGAGTTCACCATCTCCATCTAAAAAAACTAAAACCCTTTTCATTTTCTTTGCTGAAATCTTGAGTAAACCTTCAAAATAGATTTCTTCTATTTCCAAGCCAGGCTTCAGACTAGAATTTCTAACACGACACTGGAATATTATTTACCAAATAATTTCTTTTACTGTACTTCAATCCCCTCAGTAACATTATACACTTTTATTGTATGCTAAAAATAAATTTGTATAATTAACACTACTAAAATGGATACAGCCCAACACCAACATAAAAATTACTAAGATCAAGTTGGCCACAATAAATTTTGTAATTGTAAAAAAAGATATTTCTCTTTAATGGTATGGTCATACTGATTTTCAAAATACTTACTAAAGTTTTGTCTTCACTTTGATAAATTTGGTGTAAAAATTTCTGTTCTTTAATGTACCAACATCCTGAAGTGTGTCAATCTCCAGACGTTCTTTCAGCAATTTGTCTGAAAGAAACTGGAATAAAATAAACAGTATGATTATCTCTCAGAGTGTTCATACACATTTGAAAAAATAATACTAACAACAAAAAAATCACGAACACTAAAACAGCCAGTGTCATTTAGGTCCCCAAAATGTTGGCTGCAAAGATCAATATTTGTATTACAATCAACAGATTCTGTTCACAAAACTGTACACCCTAAGAACTTTAAATTCTCCCAACCTTCTCAGTTTCCTTCACAATGAAGCAAAATCGTTGTCTCTCATCGCCATTGTTCTCTGCACATGATGTTTCAGCATCAATTACACTAACAACATCCAAAATTATGGATGGCATATCACTGTGCAGGTTCTAGAACACAAAAACAAGATAGGACATTAGAGCAAATAAGTTACACTTAAAACTAATGCCAGAATTCAACAGTAACAATACTTCAACGAAAGATTAAACGTCAGTTAACTTCCACCATACTACACAGCATTATATCCCAGAAGACAATTTATTTTGTTAGAACTGTGTACCAAACAGTCTCAGTCTAACACTACACTACACTATTGACGTCAAGAGTTTAACAGAAAAGCCCCATTACACCCATTTATTAGAACATATGATACACCAGCAGAATTGACATAATTTATTATGTGTGATTTATAAACTGCCATACTCCTTTCGACACTGTAATGGGACACAATTTCTCAAATGTTGAAGCCAGTTTGACAGAGGATCTCTGAGGGTTAACATTAAAGAAGAACTCACTTGAAAATATCACAGAACACAAAATACTTACCACAATTTCACCCAGTGTGGTTGCAGTTGCTTCTCGTCTCAATGGCCCTTTGATACCATGCCATATTAATTCATAAATTAATCTTGTATGTACTGTATGTAAACATAGATTAATACATTACTGACAGACTGTAGATTCAATATAATAGGCAACACCAGTTAAAACAGCTTCTTTTTTCTCAGCACTCCATACATAAACAAGATTCGTAATGCACTAAAATAAGAACACACAAACGTCAAATTAATTTTTTTTACTTTGCACCCCTTACTAGCTGTGATGTTCATTTATGACATAAAAATGGATGTCACAAAGCCAATAATGTTGCAGATATATAAAAAAGAGTAGGAAATTCTTTGCCTTGTATTCTTTAAAATAGTCACCATATCAAAAAATGTTCCTGAGTCCATATAGGAGATTTCAATGCCAAAGTAGACAGGGATGACATTTTCAAAACAACTGTGAATCAAGACATTACATGGAATTAGAGCAGTAAAGTTTGCCACATCCAAAAATGTTACTGTCAAAAGTACGATGTTCCCACCGTAACATTCATAAATTTACTTTAACATCTCCTGATGGAAAGACGCACAACCAAATTGAACATATTTTGATAGAAAGGAGATGGCATTCAAGTATACTTGATATCCAATCATTCAGGGCAGCAGATTGTGATACTGACCACTATCTGGTGGTGCAAAAGTTAGTTGGTGGGAAAACCAGAAGGAAAGAGGCCATCAGGAGGACCAAGATGTACATGGGTACATATTAAAATGGATCTTAGAGTGATAGGATGGGATGGTATGGATTGAATTGATCAGACTCAGGATAACTGAAATGTATTTACCAGTTTCAGAGATGACGCTACAAACAAGACAGCACACTAGTAACAGGCAGCTATACAGAGTGATTCACGAAGTTTTACCCTGGCTTATGGTGCATATTCCTGGGGTTATTTCCTGCAAAATTTCCTTATAAACTTGTGGTCGATTTTCAATAGTTACGGAGTAACAATGGATTTCTGAAAAGCATCATTGTGAATGCAGCGCTATCCCCCCCCCCCCGACTGTATGATCAGCTAATCAGGCCATTCATTTTATTGGATTTGGGGCTGGATGAAGGACATTGTGTACCAGGTAAAGGTACAAACACATGAAGTGTTGCTCGAATGTATTCTGGACACGACGATGACAATAAGGAACAAACGTGTGGAACTGCGAAATGCTACGAGCGCGGTTCATACGCATGTGCCGTGTTGTGTTGATGTGCAGGGAGAAATTTTTGAAAATCTTATGTAAATCCAGTTGTCTTCTAAAGCACTATAGTTTAAAGGAAACAGATTGATAGAAGGGTGTGATATGCATCCATTGGTATGTTTACAAATGGGATACTGAATATAATCTAATTTTGTAACATAAAATCGATGAAAAATGTTGCACAATGCAAAATTAAGAAATTAAAAAAAAATTTGGTCTTAGAATGCTTCTTTCCTAAAACATTAACGATTTAAAAAGTGTTTGTATTGTATTTCTAATTTGTTTTGACTGAAATTCGAAGAAAAAAAGATTTTTCGCCGGTTTTCAAATTACTGTATCTCTTTAATTATGAGTTGGATACCATTAGTACATTAACATTTTTTGTTCCAAATTACCTCAGGAATGCCCTCCCTAAGTGGGGGTACAACTTCGTGAATCACCCTGTATACTTGAAAATACATACCTGCATTTTTGCTGTTCTTTGTTAAAACAGGGCTGATATTCTCATCACTTTTCACAAACTGCTTGCATGTTTTAATACTGTAAAAGAACAACTATTATGTACTTTACTGAAAGAGAACATTGGGAGAGGAAAAAAGGAAAAGAAGTGACATATTAGGCAAATGCATATGTGAGATGGCGTTAAAAAGACATCCATCTTCTCTGTAAGTATATTAAATGCATGTACCAAGCAGTGTGACTCAAACAGTAATACTTCTGACTAGGGGGGAGGTTACCGGTTTGAATTTTGGCCAGGACACAAACTATACTCACACTGGTTGTTATTAGTACCTCCAGGCAAATGCCAGGGTAGTACCTCAAAATAGGTTGCAGCCACTTCCCTCCCCATCTATTCCAATTCATCAATTATTCTACCACTCAATACAACAGGGCCTGAGTGACTGACAGTGTTGTTAAATAAATTATGAATACAATAAAATACATGCACTGCACTGTAAACTGGGCAGACATATGCTACATGGGAATAACAGTAGAATGTCAGATTCAAAATGCACATGTAAACATTCATTTAAGTTTGTAAGTGTGGGCCGCGCCATACCTCAACCGGTTAGTTGCTGGCTTCCTACTGCGGCGGCCTGGGTTCGATCCCAGGTCTGGTCAAGTGGGATTTGTGGTGGACAAAGTGGCGTTTGGGCAGGTTTTCTGTGAGTACTTTGGTTTCCCCTGCCAATCTTCATTCCACCAACTGCTCCACAATCACCCTCACCTATCATCTGGGGCTGGTACAATAGGCCAGAAGTGGCCACAATACAAGGGACTTAGTCCCACCCCACTAGCAATAAAAAAAAGTTCATAAGTAAAAAGGTTCTTGGAATGAATTACAGTGCCCAAAAACCTTTATCTGTAACTCATATAAATGCCTTTAGTTATATTCAAATCTGTCAAGACACAGAAGGTACAAAGAGTTTGTTTCAGCGCTTAAACAAAGTAGACCTTAAAATAATCCAGAGAGAGAGAGAGAGAGACAAAATCAGAACAGCTTCACAAAATAACGTAGGTGCACCATACAGAACTTGATAAAAATCAGTTACATATTTGAGCACAGATGCAATGGGTAACACAGAAGCAAGGTTTTCTCCGAGTTTCTTCAGTTTTGCCACGAATTATCATTGCATCATTGCTCTATACTCATTTATTACCACCCAGCTACAATACGTGTTAGACCTGAGTAGGCAGCACATTATGACAACCTTTTCAGTTTGGGGCTTAATCTCTCACCGTGGCATAGGGCTGGTTAGAATAAGCTTTTCACTGTCAGTTACTACCAAGGAAACTGCAAATTTGGCAGGATACTACTTACACGTACTAAACAGTGCCACTCAAATTGGAAACTTGCAGAGAAGACCTATACTTTAGCATCGGGCAAAACAGGAAAAGAAAAAAATTCTGTCTTGTTGGAATTAAGAGGCAAGTATGCAGAAATATCCACAACTGATCCAGCTGGTCTTAAACACAAAAATTCAGACCTTGGACCTGAATGATTAGGTTCTTCAAGCAGGAATGTGTAATGACATAATGCAGTTCTTGTGTACTGGCCAATGAAACTACAGAACTCTACCAAACAAGGGCAGTAATTTTATCTTATTTACTGCCATCAGCAAATAACTGTTAAACACATTACATTCGTTGGAAACGATGTATTGCTGTCATTTAAATAGCTGACAACAGTATATAAGGCACTCAATTCACATAAGATACTTCCTGTAAAAGTGCAACCATGCAATATTGCATGTCGATTAACAAATCAAATGTCTCCAAGCACGAGGTTACACCATGGTAATATACAAAACTGGAGAAGAAGGAACAGAGAATCAGAAGAATACAGAATCACCACAGATATCTGCGAAAAATTCCATTTCTTAAAAGTTAAAAATCTTTGAAAACTGTACAGAAGAACAACAAATATTAAAAAATTCCACATGCATGTAATTAACAACCTGTACACTGCACAGAGTTCTCCATCAGCAGGCCACAGCTATTCAACTGGTTGCAAAATTCCTCATTATAGAGCTAAAATATTCATCACCGTGATCCCAAAATCTGACACTTGACCGTACACTGAGGATGTTCAGTCCAGTTCGAATCTTTACAACCTACTTTTGTATGATCCAACTAAATATTACTCCCTATTTTAATAATATCTCAAGTCTCCAAAATGGTCTCTTCCCTTGAGGTTCTTCAATCTTGTTTTTAAGCTTGTTACTTAATGACATTGTCAGTACTGAGATTTTATTCAACATCCTTCTTGCAATTTATTACAGGTTCCATCAGCACAATTCCTGTATAAATTGAATGAATTTATGCTGTTTCTTACTTTACAACATGTTGTGGCCATTTATGGTCATCATCAGGCAAAATCATTTTGCATTAAGACTCTACTTTTTCTATCCCCCCCCCCCCTAGACTGGACAATGTTTAAATTTTGTGGGTAAGATCATATGTGTTATTTACAGTATTAATATGAACTACAGTTTGTATGTAAACTTAAAATATATTAGGTTAAAATTAATTTTAATTTTAAATTAAGCTAAAATAGAATGAAATGTAAACACTGGCCAATGTAGGGGTAAAACAACAGAAAAAGTGGTGGGTTAATGTAAAATTATTTACCTGATGATGGTCATAAATGGCTGAAACATGTCGTGAAGTAAAAAACGTTATAAATGTATTCAATTTATACAGGAATTGTGTGGACAGAACCTATATCAAACACTTCACACACAATATGATGCTGAAATACAATATTAATCCTTCTCTCGAGGTAAAGCCCATATGCAGAGGACATTCTTGAGGATCATCAACATGGCTTTTGACACAATATATCAGCTACCAACAAACAATGGAAAAAATTGGGACTACAATGAGACAGCACATGAGCTATTCGTCATGTCTGTATTGTGACAATGCGTATATTGTTATATATGGATAGTGAATTAAGCATTCTGAATTTATGAGTACAGCTATTAACTTAGTACCCTGAGTTCATAATAAAGATATTTTTAAATTTTGGCTATCGCTAAATATATTGTAAAATATTATATTTACAATATATCCATTCCATCAAACTCTCCATAACCATAACCACCCAGGATATATATCATTCGAATCATAATTTTATTATCTTTGTATACTATTAAATCATTGTGTTATATATTGTATTATTATTATTATTATTATTACTATTATTATTATTACTTATTGTATTGTAAAGTATTGACTTGTCCTATATCATGTACAATGATCCATGGATATGATATGAAATAAATAAATATTATATTTAAGCATCCTGTTACACTCACACAATATGTATGAGACAAACTCCGTCTTAAGTGCAACAATTTAATTGTAAAATCTAATTATAAAATAACTGGTTAATTGTTAACAATGTGATTATGTATGCAATCCAGTCTATTTTATTTTGTATTTTATTCCTGGGAACTCTTTTATTAATTGTGTTATAATTCTAGATCTTTTCAACATCTGATGCATTGTACCAACTCATCCTATATGCTGCCTTCTAGAACCTCTAAGGTGCATCTGTGCTATCTGGTTATCCATCTATTTATGAGAGTCAGTAAACAGGTCACAAATGGAAGTAAAACAACTGCAATGGACATAATAGATTTAATATGTGCATCACAATCCAGCTTCATGGCAAGTCTAGATAGCAGACATGCATGCGCATGTTCAGAGGCTGGTTTCAGTAGTCAAAATGGCAAATGTGCCTATGGCATATGCTACCGAAGAGCAGAGGTCTGCTGTGCATCTTTTGTGAATAAAAAGATGCAATGCAAAGGATATTGATAAAGATGTGTTTCATGCTTACGGTAGAAAGTGTTTGTCATGTAAAGTGGTTCACAACTGGGTCAAGAAATTCTCTCAAAGACATTCAAAAGTCACAGATGATACCTGACCAGGTCACTCTGTTGAGATTGCAACATAAGCAACTGTGCAGTGGGTGGAAAAAATGATTTGAGCTGAGAGGAGGACAATGATAACACAGTGTGGCAACTGCACTAGGATGTTCCCATGATTTACCATACAGCATAATACATGACCATTTGAAGTTCTGGAAAGTGTGCGCGAAGTGGGTGCCCAGAGAACTATCACTGAGAAAAATGAAATGACCCAAATGGGTCTGTCCTTGCCAACACCTCTTACGGTATGCAGAAGATAGAGAAAATATACTTACAGGACATTTACTCGGGATGAATCGTGGGTGCATCACTACCAACCCGAATCAAAACACATNTTCCCCTGCCAATGTTCATTCCATCAAATTCTCCACAAATAAGAATGTAAAAAATTGTAACTATTGTAATTTTAATCTACTTATATATCAAATTGTTAATATTCAGAATTAACTTGACTTGTCATATATCATGTACAATGATCTACAGTGACGAAATAAATCAATCAATCAATCAATCAATCAATGCAGTGGAAACATCCCAGTTCACCTTCAACCAAAAGGTTTAAGGTTATGTCATCAGCTGGGAAGGTTATAGTTACTGTGTTTTTGGATTCTCAGGGACTATTGCTAGCCCATTTTCAGAAGCATGGTGAAAATGTGAATTCTGCATCATACTGTGAAGTTCTGCCATAGCTTCAGCATGCAATGTCCAAGGCAAATGGCAAGAGGGGTACTGCTTCATCAAGACAATGCCAGACCCCATACAGCCTGAGGAAACCAGGAGAGAATTCAAGAACTACAGTCAATTTCTTGAACATCCACTTTGCAGTGCAGACTTGGCCCTTAATGACTTCCACCTATTTGGTCCCCCACTAATAAACCGCCCTGGTGACACACATTTCACTGATAATGAGGTTGTAATGGAGGTGTGGATGTGGTTGAGACAAGAGCCATAAGGCTTCTATGCTGCAGGTGTTGATGCACCGGTAAAGCAATGGGACAAGTATACCAATGTTGGACATGTAAAGAAATAAAAAGTTTTTTTCAGGTTCGAATATTACATGTTTTACGTTTTATATCCATTTGTGACCTATTTACTGACTCTCTCTTGTATCTGTGCATACAAAGACAATTCACTACCCTAGCCAGTACACATCAATTAAAATTCCAAACCAGTGAATAAGCAACCGGCTTTGAATATTTCCATGCACATTTGGCATTAAAATTAATTATGTTTGAAAATGCACAAAAAGGAGAAACATTCTTATACAGTTGCGATGCTACTCTATATGTTCAACTATTGTGACCATTACAGTTTTCATACAAATTTCAATAAAATTCTTGTCAGTACAACTGACAAAATGTGATGTAAAGTGAACTCCAGGACTAGTAGATGGAAGTAAATGAAATCCTCCATTCCAAAAATTAGATTTCATAAAAAATTGCTGTAAAAGTGTATTTGGCGATTATTCAATGCATTTAAAACGTTATAAAAAATACAAGGCTTTTATGGCAATAAATTCGGACATTCATAATTATAACACATGAAGAAAATTAAATTTTCATGTACAGCACTGCAATACAGCTCTTTTTAAGATGAGTGTGATAAATATGGGAATCTGTTTGTATAATAAGGTCCCCGATCAAATAAAACAAAAGGGAAATTTTTAACTCATTTAAAGAGGAATTAAAAATCTTTTTCACCAAAACATTCCTTTTATTCTGTAGATGAATTTAAGTCTTTTGGTGTGTAAATGTAATATATAGCTGATTAATTTGTTGTATTTGTGTAAAGACAATGAAATTAATGGGAACTAGATCTAGATATTATTCAATTCAATTCAATTTTATTTCATCCATGAATACATGATATGGACCCCTTATATTAGGGTGGTACAGTGTATACTGTGAAGATATGCACGAGAATTAGATGTAAAACTGACAATTTCCTTATCTAAATGGTTGTAATACCTGTATGTATGAATTGTTGAATGATAATAAATGATAATTAAAAAGTCGGAACTCTACATAACGGATTACTTTAAAAAAGTTTCTAAATGTGTTCCATTACATTTACAGTGTACCACATTAACATTCTTCCTCAATACATTAGTAAATCCTAACATATTCCAGTTGATACATTTGATACTGCAATTGGAAGTCCTTCGCACTGCGTACGCCAAACATTTCGTGCCAAATCAGAAGAGAGTAACGGGACCGAAACATATCGACTTATAAATATGAAAGATACTGTAAGACACGGAAACAAACATTATAGTGACTCACAATTCAGTCTTCCCTTGCCTTTCCCAACTTTTCCACACATCAGAACTCAAACTGCTAACAGCCATGTTCTACAAACAATAATCTGCACGTTTCGCCAACTGCTGAAACATTTAAAATCCAATAATGCAAAAACTATTGTGTGCTGTTTAGCAATACACCCATTCACAGAAATTTATCAAATTCAGCATGCACTATTAAAAATACAACACACTGCCACACACAGTCTTTATCGGCCTATAGCACTTGCACGACTTGCACTGAACCCTTTTTTCAATCAATTGCGTGTCGCTTAGCGTTGCAACGTGCAATGTGCATGGATCTTTACGATCTTTACGATCTTTACAGCAGCGTTCTCAGATTTTCTTTGCCTGGATCCAGAGATTATATAAAGCCTGCGGCGGATGCAATGATGGAAACCGTGGAATGCCATTAAGGTCAGAACCGTCAGAACGGTCAGAAACGTCAGAAAGGTCCGAACCAAATAAATCTGCTGCAATATGCGTGAGAATGTTTGTCTGAGATGCAGGAGATGCTATCAGAGATTGTCAAAATTCTTCTCATAATAGACATTTAGAGAAAATACTATGGTCCCTCGATATACTTTCTTTTCAGCTCGGGACGAGTGAGATTTTGAATTACAATTTTTAGCGCTTTTGTAGGCTTTAGTGTGTAACAATATATACGCCAGTTATTTTGTGCATAGTTTCCGATTTAAAGTGTTTAAATACAAAACATCGCTCAGTACGCCTTAAGAGAAGTGGTCGTTCCAATGGTTGCAGTAGTAACGTTCGCGATATAAGTTTTAATGCGTCTAATTTGCGTGAAAAACGTGTGAGGAAACAACGAAACAGATTGGATTTCTCCAATTCCACGACCTGACAGACCAATCGTGGTGTGTAAGCAAGTAGACTATTTCTCTTATGTTACGCAGACAGCATATAAACATTTCAAGGAGAGCGGGAAAAGTTGCCGAATCCATAACGCCCATAACCCTCCCGAATCAACAAAGAAAGAGCTATGTGACGAATAAATTTAACGTCCAATTATCTATGAATGTCAGAATCGTTCATCTCACCGTATGTCCCTACTTCAAGTACTTCGTTCAGTGCGGATTTCTATAAAATACACTCAAATACAACCCTCACTGCTGCGTATTTATTGTACATTTTATTGTATAAGTTAACTGTGACTGGTTCTATATCCGTCACGCGTACTCAGTAGCCTATATTGGATCGACGGAATTTTACAATAAATGAATGAGGGTGTATATCTGTTTCCTTTGTTTGAACCACCCTATGTTCATAATAAAGTCGATGCATCCGCTGATGTCAATAAAATTCTGTTTCCTTCAAAGTTGCAAAATATTGATGTCGCGTTTCATGCGGTTGGGAAGTTTCGAACGGCACAGTTTTCATTCACGAAACCCAGTTAATTTTCTGGTTGGTAAATATGTGTTGTTAATGGGAAGCATAGAAAGCAACACATTAAAAATATAGCAATATCCAGATGAGTTTAAATGTGTCAGTGGCATTGAAGCGTGTTACATTAAAAATTTCCATATTGTTACCATAGGAACGGCCGTAATGTAAATGATCGCTCCTCGTGTTTGTGAAGTTCGACGATGGCTGAGAACAAATATGAGAGAAAGGCCCGAAGAAAGCAGACAAAAGCTAAACATATATTATTCCAGGATACTGGAATTAGTTGTTCAGATGAGCCCACAAAAGTAAGTAGATTCATTCATTCATTTATTTTATTATGCATTCATAATTGCTACAACAGTAACATTTGAACAGATCACATCATTAAATACATCATTCTTGAAATCTTTGTGCCCAAATGCCCAAGGATTAGAATTTGTCAACAATAAATAATACTCTGGAGAGATTGCAGATAACAAGAAGCTACACCAGGAAGGGAGAACAGATGTAATGAGATTTTGCAGTGTAGAGTCTACAGTGAAACGTTATACCAGTGCTATCACCAAATTCACCAATATTATCTCAAAGGCTGTGTCATAGCTTAAGCGGTTAGTCGCTTGCTTCCCACCACTGTAGTCTAGTCAAGTGGGATTTGTGATGGACAAAGTGGTGCTGGGGCAGGTTTTCCCCGAGTACTTCGGTTTCCCCTGCCATTCCTCATTCCATCAAATTCTCCATAAGCATTATCACCAGTACAGGTACAGTAGGACATATGGAAGCCGACGTGCCGAGGGGACCTAATATGGATTCTAAACTTTTGTAATCTACTGTAATCTATTGTAAACAATTGTAAGTATTGTAACTTTATTCTCTTATTGTAATCAGCCAATGTACAGTAACTGACTTGTCCTATATCATGTAACAATGATCTATAGAGACGAAATAAATAAATAAACTCTTGACATGGTTTAAATCTACAATTGAAATATAACACACTATCAAAACCAGATAAATACTCAAATTAAATACAATACATAAATTGAAAATACAAATTGATTTAAAAAATGCCTATCATACTAGTTCTGTTAACCTTCTGAGTTTATCGAGAGAATTTTAAGAGTATTACAGTAAATCAAAAGTCCTGCATATGACCATGTCACTCACTGATCACATTAAGATACTACCAGCAACCATTTGCTATTTATTTCAGTTGCTGAATAGAAGTTTCGCTGTGCTCATATAATGTATAGAATGGATCATATAGTAAAAATATTTTTAGCTTATGTTTAGAGTCTTTATATCCATCTTATTTTCTTAATTCCAAATGCAGTTTATTATACAATTTAATACCCATATTGATAACACTTTTCTTAAAAGTTGATGTGTTACAATTTGGTACATGAAAATCATCTTTCCTTCTAGTATTATATTCACATAAATCTGAATTTCTTGTAGAGTATAAATTATATTTCTGAAAATAGCACAGCACCTCAGAAATATACACGGGGCTAACAGTTAAAATTAAAAAAGTTAAAAACAGTTTAATTATTTACAAAATAGGTCTGCATGATGTTCTGTTATTTTCACCTTAAATGTATTATCCTTTTTTGTATTTTCGGTACTTTGCCATTTTTATTTTCCCCACCCCAAAAAATCAAACCATAACTTACTAAGGATTGAAATTTGGCAAAGTAAATATTCCTGAGTCTATAGAAACTCACTTCATCTTTCAAGGATTTAATAATGTAACATGTCTTATTCAATTTTAGACACAAGGACTGAATATGTGAACTCCATTTTTAGACTACTTGTTATATTGATACCTAAAAATCTGAACTGTGATATATAATTACTTTTTATATTTTTGAAAATAATAACTGGCTCAGACATGTCATACGATTTTATTTCATTGGAATAGCATTGCTTGGGTCTTATCAGTATTTATAACCAGGGTATTTTTTGAAAACCAAGTTTCTAGCTAGATCATCACTCTTTTTATTTTTTCTTGGAGAGTAATTTTATTCTTATCTGTTACCAGTATATTGGTATCATCTGCAAAAAAGAACCACTTCTTCATTTGATATATGATGGGGTAAATCATTTATATGTAATAAGAAACAGGAGTGGGCCCAAAACAGATCCTTGAGGTATTCCAAGTTTTATATTCCTCAGTGTAGAATTATACCTATTCATAGAATATTTATTGTCATTAGAGGCTATTTCTACATACTGTGAATGCAGTGTGAGATAGGATAGGATAGATACGTTAAATGTGGTGATTACTTGGCTTAATATAACCTGATTTTAAGGCTACCTTCTTGTTTTCAGTATGTTATGGTAGCAAATGCTGGATTGGTAACTGGATTACAGCAAGAACAATTACTAGAACTCTGCTTGCCATATGGAGGAGTTGACGGCATTGTTATGCTGCCAGGGAAATCATATTGCTTCATTATTTTTAAGGATATATTGTATGCATCTAAAGCATATGCTGCAATACATGGGAAGATTAAATTAACACCAAATGACTCAGGTCCTTTGTATCTTGCATATGCAGAGAAAGGTATGGAAATTACTATTAAAACCATATAATCATACAGTTTGTGTCACATTATTGCAGTAAATTGTATATGTTATGCCAGATATTATGACACACTCATAAGGGTAGAAAGAACTCTTTTCATATTCATGAGGTTCAAATCTTAGCCCATGGCCCAGTTACCCTGACTGAGATTTTTCATGCAAGCAAGCACCATAATGGTACCCCAAATTGGGCAGTAACCACTTCCTTCTGCATCCTTTTAAGTTTATGATTTATTGGCATCTTACCATTCCATGTAGCACAGTCTGCGCTACTGTTATAATTAAATAGTCAAGAAATGAATAAAATAAGTGACTCATTTAATCAAGAAACCTTGTGTGTATGACTCGATATGTACATTTATTTAGTTACATACGGACAGTGTATATAAATAGTTAATAACATAGGACCTAGATTTTTTGTACATTGATGTGCACAGCCCAGTATTTCTTAAATGATTGTGTCTAATATTTCAGTTCCAGAACTCTCCCACTCCTGGAATTATGACCAGAAGCCTCCTGGTTTAATTTTACTAGAAGAATTTGTTACAGAAGATGAAGAAAAGTCACTATTGAACTGTATTGATTGGAAGACATCAGCATCACATTTGGGTATAAGAAGAACAGAGTTTGGCCTAGGCATAGATGGGAGGATAATATTAAAATAGATTTTAGAGAAATAGGGTGTAGACTGAATAATTCAGTAATTAAGATACTAGCTGCAAGCTGGATGGCAGGGGTTTTTTTCTCCACACCGGTGTTCAGCCCAGCTGAGGCTCACTGAGCCTCTGATTTGTTGGGTTCAGAGGGTATTTCCTTGGGGAAATATGGTTGAATATGATGCTGACTACTCATATTTGGTGACGAGCTCTAGAATGCATAATGTTTCACCTCTGTGTTTTCTGTTTGCCTTCATGAGATGGTGCTTTAATACAAAGGAAACATCATCTTCATTTGTACACAAGTGAATGGAGTCTTATTTCTTCAATTCAATTCAATTCAATTTTATTTCATCCATGGATCATTATACATGATATGGGACAAGTCAAAGATTAATATTAATACTAATACTAAATACTAATAAGTATATAATAATACAGAAATAATGACAATATAATAATACATGATAATAATAATAATATAGCAATACAGAGATAATAATATGACAATATAATATTGATTGATTGATTGATCCACCTCGTCACTGCAGATCACTGTACATGATACATGACAAGTCAAGCCAATTCTGAACATTAACAATCCGATACATAAGCAGATTAAAATTACAATAGTTACAATTCCACTGCTGATTACAATCTAGAACTGGCTAGATACTCCCACTTGTGGAGAATTTGATTTACATATTCAGTATCTAGGCATATTTCTTTTGTTACATGTTTCATAAGTTATGGTATTGCCCAGATTTTGAAAAGTCATGTACATAATCACTAATCCAGAATCATAACTTTACTTGATGTTACCTGCTGGACTCCCTTTAATTGTAATGTTAATTTGTCGGAGGCAGAATAAGTTTTTCAGCCCTATGTAACAGACTCTGATAATTTGATCCCTATGTAACATTCATGAAATACCAATGTTTATGACTGCATATGCATATTATGAATGACCAAGGGGTTTGGTGTAGCAATACATTCTAACCTTGTACTTGGGAAGTTCTCAGTTTAAGTCCAGGCCAGGTTTCTGGCTTTACTGACAGCTTTATCATGATGTTTCTCTGCTTCCCTAAGAAATAGGATAAGATTATCAAATAAATAATCTATGACCACTTCCTTCCGCTCATCTTTCATAATCATCCTTTTGCTACTTTGGTGCTATAATATTACGGTACATATATTGTAACATGTATCTATATATGGTGCAATTACTGCCCCACTGTTCCTGTTGAGATCAGTTCTCTTCCCTTGTTACTTCACAGCAATGCCACTTGTTACACCGCTCCACTTGCCTCTTATGTTGACTTCTGTGCACTGCACTCTACTGAATACCGACTCACTACTGAGTAGCTTGCCACCTACTCGTCTTAGGGCATGTCACCTGTAGGAAAGATCCTGGAATGTTCATGGGCAAACTTGATTTTCCTTGTCAGCTTGGCAGTTTCCTGAACATTCCAGATGGTGAAAGAGGCATACACAGGTCAGGTGACATCCCCCTGTGTTCACCTCCCACAACAATATGTTACATAGAAACTGGGTTATTTAATGTTGCTGTTTACAGTCCCACCAAGATTTGATGATCCCTGCCATGCTTGCATGTGACATAGCAAGCCCCAGCATGGGTTGAAAAATGTAGCACTGTTGTCAAATATTCATATGAACTTAACACAGTGATACAGTTGGTTGCAAGCTCCAGCAGTCTGGAGTACAGACCTGAGTTAAGTGGAACAAAACTTGCAAATAGAACATTCAACTGGAAATGCATGTCTTCAACATGACTAGTAGATACTGCTGCTTTTGAGGTGATGAGCTGAAAGCTGAGACAAGGGATCAACAAATCCTTGCATGGCTGTAGTTATTAAACAGCACTATAATATTTTGTTATAATATACACTATATTATAGCATCACTGCACTTAAAACAGTGTCGTCAAATAACTAATCAATCCATATTGTCATTTGTATGAGTGACTCTCGACAGGATTTTGGATTGATGATCTGATATATTGAACACTTACGGATTGTAACTATAAGTAACTGTAACAGTCTCATGGAATTACACACTCCAGATATCACTGTCTTCACTAGTTGTTTCTTGGTGACAGGTTTTACCACTGTCTGCTTATTGTCCTTTGTGTCTGGCACATATCCCACAACTCCACTAAGTCTCCGCTTTGTCCTTATATTTTAGCATCCCATTGCATTGAGGCATTATTCTTATTATTAAAGTATGAAATGAAAGACATTAGGAATATATTTCACACTAAAAATTTATTTTAATACTTTTTGATGTTGTTAAAATCATTACATGCAATAGGACACCAAAAATATATTTTATATTGTTGCATTATTGACGGATACTTTGATAATAAGGATACTCTACTTTGTCCTGCTTATAAGTTCTTGGCATGGACCACTGTAGAGAACACCGTTTCCAACAGTTTGTCTGTTGTTGTTTGTTGATTCGTTGCTGTGGAGACGTGTTTACAACCATTACCCAGTAATGGTCTCTACGCTACAATATTGTGACAAATCATGTTAGCTCTAATAAAGACAAGTGAGGTGTGTTACTGCTTGAGCTAAGTGTAATGGTTAGCCCAATCAATAACACATCTGTCTTGTATTTATTATTATCCAGCATGAGTTTCAACTGGGGAACTGGCTATTCACCCTGAGATTTTATGAAGTTTTCCTTAGTCCCTCCTGGCATATGCTGTGATATCTTAAAATAGGGCATGGCCACTTTACCTGAATTACATATAGGCCTGAATATAAGGCAACCTCATATTTTTCCATTGAGAAAATTGAATTTTTTTTTTGACAAAATTGAATATGTTATTTAGTTCAGAGGGTCAAAGGCAAAAAGAAGAAAGAACTATGTACTAGGAAGTAATAAATTTAAAACCTTGAATATAATTCTAGGCATTGTCACAGACATTATTAAAATTAGCAGCAAGGACTCTTCATAATCATCTTCATATTTATTCATAAGTACCTGAAAATAAGGGAATCCCTATTTTCCAAGAAGCAGTATTTAAAGAACACTTCTACTATGGTAATTTCCAGTTCATTGTACATAATTACCCGTTATGGAATTTAAACTGTGTTGTCCTCCATTCTTTAGTATCAAAATGTTTTACATCTTGACATAAAACTGTGTTTTGACTCTTAGGCCAGACTCTTAAGCATCGAAGAGTAAAACATTATGGTTATGAGTTCCAGTACGACACAAATAATGTTGATAAGGAATGTCCATTGTCTGAAAACATACCATCTGAATGCAACTTTCTGTGGGATCGTCTGAAAGATAAAAATATTAGTGTCCTGTCATCGTTCCCAACTCAACTAACTGTGAATCATTATCAACCTGGTCAAGGTAAGAAAACATGTCCATTAAATAATGGGAATTTATCATCCATAACACTTAAAATTTGGGTATACACATCTCCCTGACTCTTTAAATGTCATAGTGCAAGAGAACAGTTGTCTACATGTCATCATTATGGAAATAAACTACCTGCTTGTTGACATTCTGGTCATCATAGTTACTCACATAAGGCAAGAGAAAAACAAGAATGCAAACAATTAATTACTGTCACATGAATACAATATTTTCTTATATTAGGCATAATAGAATATTTAGATTACAATTATCTAGGATCTGAGGTACATTTATGAATTGTACATAAATTTTCAGGAGTTGCCTGTTCACATCTTCACTGGGTAGCATTCAAAGGGTTTTGGTTCCAACCCAAATATTGCCACTAATCTATTAAAAATTTGTGAGTACCACGACAGCCGAAAAAAGGACTGTGGTAAACCCTTGAGACATATATACCTCAAAGCGATGTTTTTAATGTGGTGAATCAGCAGCTGTCACATGTCTTTAGAGGATCATCATAAATACTGTGTAGTGCCCATATATGTACTGAAGTTGACATTGAAATGGTTAAACCTTCCGCTGACTTTCTACAGAGTCTGTGCTCCGAAATTTTCAAATAATTTTATGTTCCTACAACTTTTATTGATCATTGACATATAGAATGGTACTGTCCTTTGTTCAAATTTAACTAGAATTATGATAAACTTTAGTAAGAATGCTGTAAATAACAAATTTCCAGCAAAATGGTCTGTCTGGAGTGGAATTATTATATGAATAGAGAGCAGATGGACATGACTGATGTAATAGGCACTTGATCATTCTTGAAAGTGTGCCTAAATGACTCACTGTTCCATATATGTCCCTTGTTTTGTCTCATACAAAATAAAGTCTTACTGTAGCACATACTAAGCCTGACAAAATTCATGACAGAATCAGTGAAAACTAAAATATTTTACTTACTGGGATGGGAGATTACTGCATACTGTTTGATGAGATCTCTCATCAATCTCACATTTTAACTCAGAGTGTAATAATTTGACCGGATGACACCCCTTTCAGACTTTCAAGAAAGATCCTACATTTATTTTTGTCGAATAACATGCTAACACACTATATTTTCAGTATAGACTGATCACTACATTAATATTTCCAGGTATTCCATCCCATGTGGACACGCACAGTGCTTTCAAAGATCCAATCCTATCATTGTCACTTGGTTCCTCAATAGTAATGGAATTTAGGCATCAGGATGGCCGAGTAAGCCCTGTTATTTTACCCCAGCGATCTTTGTTAATCATGTCAGAAGAGGCAAGGTACTGGTATAGTGTTACATCATGTCCTAGTTATTTTCTACATAGTGTGCTTCATGTACTGTATACATTTACACAAAGTAACTGTTTGGCAAGAGAACCTAAGGGCCCATCACCACTAGACACACTATTGGATCTGATCCTCAGTCGTTTCAATGTAGTTTACATTCTGCAGCCCACATCTTCCAGATCAGTTTTAATTTTCACCATATTTATAATGAACCTGATTCATGATTACCATGAAAGGCCAAGCCCCAACAAACCTGATATGTTTTTTACAGGTGGTCTAATCCTTTTGGCCATTTAAATATGATTTCAAGACCATGTAGGATGCCTTTTGGTACTTTTGTATTAAAGTGTAACTCTTGTAACTCTAAAATTTACAGCTATATTATTGCATGCATAGTTTATCTATGTTTTTCCTCCAACAGGTCCTAAATCTGTAATCTATTCTAAACAAATTTAAGTATTATAACTTTATTCTCTTATTGTAATCAGCCAATGTACAGTAACTGACTTGTCTTATATCATGTAACAATGATCTATAGAGACGAAAAATAAATTGTCTATCTGACAAGTTTTCTTGCATTGTTAATTACTCTGGGAATGTGAATTTGAGGGATATGCCAAGAATTGAAGAGGAAGTGATGTGCTTTTTCAGAGATATGAAGCTCAGCCCAGTTAGTCAAGCTATACATCAGTGATCAGGTTTTAAGGCCCGCAGGAAGGAGGTGAATGTGTGTTGGCAGTTGGTTTGAATATAGTCAGCTAACCTTTAACAGCCCTTCGGTTATATATAAGTGGACTCTCAAGGAAACTTCCTTCAAGTGGCGCAGACATGAACTGAGCATAGCAGTCAGTTTCAAAGTTACTTGGGCAACTTGTTAGTACAGCATGTGACAGTAGTAATGAAGCATTTTCAAAGTTCAAGTACGTCTTTCTCCCATGGGTATGACAGAGTATGTGTAGCAGTCACTTTGCAGTTCATTTCACCATGGATTGTTGGACAGTGAAGGAATATATGTGTGCTGTAGAGCTTTTCTTTTGAATGAGGCACTCTACAGATTTGCAGTGAGAGTTTTGACAAGAGTTTAACAGAAGACCCTCATACAAAGTGATCTGTTGAAGAGTCAGTCTGTAGCATGAAGGAGCTTTTCATTTGTAAAAAGCCACCTGGCTGGCCTTGTTAAGTTCTCTTGTCTGAGAACAATGCCCGAGTGTTTGTGTCTGTCAACCACAGTTCGAGGAGGTCAGCAGGTCTGGCAGATGTGTATGGTGCACCTTGCACAGTGATCTGAACTTTTAACCTCAAAAAAATTCAAGTTGTGCTGCACCTAAGTGGCCATGACAAAGGAGTGTGTTTGCAATTTTGTCATCAGTTTCTAGAATTGATTGCTGGTGATCCAGACTTTCTAGACAACATTCTAAACAAGTGATGATAACACATATTCACTTGCATGGCACCATTAATAAGCAGAACTTTTGATACTGGGCTGCTGAAAATATGAATGAATTTGATGAACATCCCTGTATAACCTGAAGGTTTGATGTGCAATGTCACCTGCTGCAATCATTGAACACTAATTTTTCTAAACAAGACGACAGACAAGCCATCATAGTCATGTAACATTGCTACACTCATGTGACTGAAATATTTCTCTTTCTGAGAGTACAGAACTTTGAAAATCAATGGTTGTAGCAAGATGGTGCTATGCCCCACACAGAATTATCATAGCATGGCTGCTCTTTGCAATTTGATTCTGCAGAGGTGATTTCTCATTCTGGTGGTGTGCCCTGGCTTCCTTGTTCACCTGACATAACTGCTCAAGAATTTTCTTTTGGGATACCAAAAAATAAAGTAATATCAGCCAGGAGGCTTTGATGAGCTGTAAGATAGAACATAAGACAAAATTGCCTGCTTTTTGAAGAAACACTTTGGGAAGAGATTCAGAGCTTCTCAACTTGTGTGCACCAGTGCAGCTAAAGGACATACTTTATAAAAAGTTAAATACTTTAAAAAAGTCAGAGACTTTAGAATAGATTGTTTGTTGAAAATAAAATACGTTGTTTTTCAAAATAGTAGCAGGGGCATGAAGTTGCCCAGTCACCTCCATCTGGTGCTGAGGTTAAGAATGGTGGATCTATACCTCTACTCCCTCATCTATCTTCATGGTATGGTGCTTAGTTTATTAAGGACAAGAATAACTTTATCTCTTAGCTTCTATTTTAAGAATGTTTCAGTATTTCACCTGCACCCTGTGTATAAGTACCAGCCTTATAGATTAAAACTTCCTTTGTCTAAGCACCTTGCCATCAAGACATGTGAGATCTGATGAACCTAATTACTTCTATTAAAATTATACATATGTGTATTTGTTATTAAACCCTGTGTGGAGGCAGGTTAGAATACCTCCACCATAGCCCTGCAAGTTGTAGAAGGCAACAAAAAGGGAACCTGGTGCTTGGGGGTGTAACTGGGTTACCCTGTCACTGGGGGACATAAATACAGAGACCTGGTCCTCTATGTTGGAGGTTTCACACAAGGTTGATGATCTTGCTCTGTAAAATAATTTTTGTTGTGAAATCCAAAGCAGTGTAAACCAGATGCAATATGACAGAATCTTCTATGGATGTATGGCTCAAGAGGGGCTGTTTTGCCAGTTATGATGATAATGTAATTAAACTTTAACGAGCATGTCCATCTTCAAAATGCTAAACTTCTAATTTTTTACACCCATTCTAACATCAATGACGTGCCTGAAAACACTGCTGGAAATCATTTTCAGAAGGTCCTGTTAATACTGTTGTCACATTTCCCTGACTGTCTCCAAGTTATTCAAAATAAGACCCTTTAGTTGCATTGTCACAGAGGGAACTTGTTAGAGGTGAGGGACCAGTTCCATTTTGTATTGACTTTACTCTGTGGAAAGAGCTCATGGTACCCATTGTGGACCCTATGAGGAATCAAAGCCAAGCCATCTGGCCCACAGCCAGTCAGGATACAAGAGGTTAACATTTCTTCCCACTGTTTTCTCAGTTTTTGATGTGGCCACCTTTCACAATGTTTCTTCTCCAATATTCTATACATATTGTCACATGTTGGGTGTATAACGGGGGACAAGTAACTTCATGCTGTTCTGGATCTAGCAAATTTATTGCACTCGCTCTTACAATTACACAATTTGAGGTGTCCATAAAGCACTTCTGACACCAAATTGTCACGTGACAAATAACTTCACGCCTTATTTGATATAGCGAATTTATTGATCACTCGCTCTCACAGTTAAACAATTTACAATCTCACCGCTACTGCCATCTGCAGTTTCACAAATACTTCTCCTCTTTCCATTCACTCCAGCAAATGCTAGACTGCAACTGACTCGGCGACTTCATGATCCACACAGTGTCACTCCTAATCACACACTGTGCCCACATACTGCTCAGCCGGTTTTTTTATACTGTTCCCTGTTGCCTTGTGTTAACAGCGGTCTCCCTTGTTACGTCACTGCGGGAAGTGCTGTTACGTCACCACGGGGGAAGGGGACGGAGTGTTGACTGGCCTGTTATGGTAGCAGCAGCTCCTATGCTGTTACGTCACTGCTGGCTTCACCGTGCTTCCTCCCTCCAAGCTACATGCTGGGCCCTTTCCTTTGTAATTACAATAGTAATACATCAGAAAGTTAAGAACGTAAAGACAGTTCATCAAAAGTCATCTATACATGAGCCCCATTGCACCTACTGGCTTGTCTATTTCAGATATGCGTGGAGCCACGGCATCACACCACGTAAGATGGATGTTATACCAACAAAGAATGGGGACCTTACAGTTCAGCAACGTGGGGACAGAACATCCTTTACATTTCGCTTCATCAGGAAAGGAGAGTGTAACTGTGTGTACCATGATCTGTGTGATTCCTATAAGAAGAAATACAAGAAATCTGAAGCAGATACAAACTGTGATGCAGTAGCAGCAAAATTAGAGTCGCTCCATGTACATGAGGTATAAACCAGAAGGGCAATTAAATGTTGGTATAGCAAGCAGTGGTTTATAGTGCCACATAGCAAAATTTCAGTTTGGAGAACTTCAGCGCATGCATAGAAGCAGTAAGCACATCAGTACTTGACTGGGTCACGACATTCCACCAGCAGAGCATGTGGATGTATTTGTGTTACTTTCACCAGGTGATGTACGAGTATGTGGTCATCATTAAGATGGCGATCCATTTTGTATCAGACAAACTTTTGTTACAGAGATATCTGTTATAACAATATATGACACAAACTCTGTCCTAAGTGTAACAATTTATTGTAGTTTTTTCGTCTTCCTTTCTTCTACACTACATGTTTCGGCTGTAAAGGGCCATCATCAGGTGTATACTCTCACGTAGCTGCAATGGAGAAATGAACAATTGGGAAGACTAGCGTTTTATAAACTTTAAACTACGTGCAGTGTAGCAGCTACGTGAGAGTATACACCTGATGCTGGTTGTTTACGGCCGAAATATGTAGTGTAGAAGAAAGGAAGATGAAAGAACTACAATAAATTGTTGCACTTAGGATGGAGTTTATGTCATATATCGTGTAGAGTGTAACAGGATGCTGAAATATAATATTGTAATCTGTTATAACAAACTTTTTGTACAGAGTGTAATGTAGGTTGTGTTCTAACTAGTGTTCTGGAATTTTGGAACATTTTAAAAATTAGACATGCAAAATTATCAGTGCTGAGTTTTAAATAAAGCTGCTCCTTATCTTCAAACTGTTTCCTCTGTATAATATTTTGTTCCTCCTTACTTGATCAGCAGTGTTAGATAAAGAGGATACAGTATTAACCTCCCATGTAATCACAGGTATATGAAGAGATTGCTAGTCACTTCAGTGAAACTCGTCATAAGCCATGGCCTAATGTGCTATCATTTGTGCAGTCCTTACCATTTGGCTCAGTCTTGGTTGATGTAGGATGTGGAAATTGCAAGTACTTTGGGAACAAGATGGGTCATTTTGAGGTAAGGTTTTTCGGATAATGTATGAATATTATAAAATCCATAATCATTGTCATTGATCCAGTGTTTTCATTCTGTCATCACCATAATGCCCAGAATCTCATTCCTTTTGATACCTTGCTGATTAACAGTGTGGCCTTTCTCTCACTTCTCCTTGTATCAGAGAGTCATCTTGGAAGCTAATAGTGAGCTGCCCTTTTTTTTTTTTTTTTGAGCTCCAAGCTGTAATTTTCTTTGAGAGGAGTTTCTCACCACTGTCCAGTGTGGAGAGGAGTCAAACTGGCAGGTGGCTCAAGAGAGTCACATTGCGTGTAAGGCTTAAATTCTAAATTCTGTGTGGTTGTAATTCTGTATGGGTGTGAAACTTGGTCTCTGACATTAAGGGAGGAACATAGACTGAGGGTGTCTGAGAACAGGGTGTTGAGGAGAATATTTGGACCAAAGAGAGATGAAGTGACAGGAGGTTGGAGAAAACTGTATAATGAGGAGTTTCATAACTTGTACTCTTCTCCAAGTATAATTAGAATGATCAAGTCATGGACGATGAGATGGGAATGGCATGTAATATGAATGCATATAGGATATTGGTGGGAAAGCCAGAAGGAAAGAGACCACTGGGAACACCAAGGTGTAGGTGAATGGACAATATTACGTAAAATGGATCTGAGAGACAGGATGGGATGGTATGGACTGGATTGATCTGGCCCAGGATAGGGACCAGTTGAGGGCTCTTGTGAACATGGTGATGAACCTTTGGGTTCCATAAAATGCTAAGAAATTCTTGAGTAGCTGCAGAATTGGCTGCTCCTCAAGAAGGGCTTAGCTCCATGAGTGAGTAAGTGTGGTTGTAATTATCATCCACCATTGGGAGTCTGCCTTCAGTTTATTAGTTTTGGCCAGCTTGCCCTTTATATTTATTTGTATTATATGCTATTATGATTTCATATTTTATTTGTAATTTATTACTACATTACATTATATTGCAGTGGTCACATCTCTTGTTACTTAGTGGCTGAGTTACATTTACTGCATTTGTCATGGATCAGTTCCATTGTAATCTGCTTAAGTGAAGATATGTCCATTACATTTAGTCTCGTGTATTTTTAGCCTACATTACTTTGAAGAAATAAATGGGGACTTATGAGATCACTTTAGTGCTTGTATGTTTATGTCCCACCTTATGTGCTAGGCAGTTACTTGGTAAACATGGTCCTACAGAAATGAATACACATGCAACGATAGAAGAACTATAGGATGCTGTGTTTTCTGTGTGGTCTTTGTCGTGTCATATTCTCAATATGTAGTGAAAGGAAAGTAGGCAGTTAGTTCTTCCAGAATTTCTTGTTTATTCTTATAGCAGTACTACATCCTTTGCTGTAAACTTGGTGGTGGTAAAGCCTGCAACAATTTAGGTGTCTAACTGCTGTCTTGGAGTGGATAAACAAGTTAAACCATAACCTGCTGCACAAGCCTGCATTGACAGAGGTCATCTGTATATCCTACATAAATTTTATTCATTATAGTAAAGTGACAGAATGCTGTAGTGTCCATGAATTATAAATGCCCTTACCTGGGCAGTGTGAGTGTGGGCACACTTGTGCCAAATACAGCATAATGAATGTGGCACCTAATCAGAAACATGATTCCCCTCATCTTTTCAAAGTGGAGACCAAATTTCTTAAAATAAATGGTCTTGAAATGAACAGAAATTTGTTTGTGAGTCCTGGCAGGGCTTGAAACCGAGAACTGTGCTAGCGAGGGTCAGCAGTAATTTAGTGTTATGCTGTAAATATGATTGCAAAGTAGGGCGTTGTTTTAGGCAGCTGAATGGGCCAAACCTGGGAGTTTATTTATATTCACATTTTGTGCAGTCATCTTATATTGTAACAGAGGTTGACACAACTTTAATGATCAATGTCGTCTGTATCATACTGCTGCAACAGTTGGTCTTATTTAAATAGTTCACTCAGAGTGGTTGCTAATTTTACTGATGGTTAAAATTGTCCAATTCCTATGTTCTTTACATTGATTTTGATTTTTAATGTCTGTTTAATGTTAGGAAGTTCTGTTTTTATGCTTGTAATTTTTATTATTTCTGTGTTTTAATATGTATTGTTTACAGTTGATGCTTTGTGTATCACTCCTTAACATGTTATATGCTTACTGTATTATTTTTGCCCTTGCATGACATTGACATATTATATATCATTGTAAAGTGATTATGGTATGAATAAATAATAAATAGTTGTCCTTTTACAGTAGTATGAAACAGAATCTCTTCATGTTTTAGAGGGTTTTCTAAGTGTTTTCTTTCTCTGCGTTCAAATTAATTTCTTTAGATCTTATTAGAGCCTTTTATTTCCATTTTTCTTCTGCAGTGTCATATAAACTATGTCATTGGTGACACTTTTATGTATTTTAATTATGCCTTTATTTAATGTAAGGTCAGAAAATACAAATATATTTCAGCAGATGAAACTTCTTTCATTCATCCTTCCAGAATTATGTTATTGTTCTTGATGATGATGCTGCTGCTGCTACTACTACAGTGCGTACAATCAAGTGCATGCCGCGGCTGCAATTTGCCGTGAGTCATACCACCGCAGAACGGATGCAACTCCTCCCCGCGACTGCAGTGCTCCTACGCCGATGGTTGCATAATCGGAACCCGAGGTTGCATTAAACAGTCAGTCTTTGTCTTGCTGTGGAAGTGGAGTGGAATGTTTACAGCTGTCGACAGACGGTGGAAATGAAGTTCACTATTAAACAGCGTGTGTTTATTGTCAAAACTATTGCAAGGAAAAACATTTACAGAAAATTCGCACGTAGGTTTCGTCAGAAATATCCTGACTCGCCAGTTCCCACAAAGTCGTGTGTAAACAGGCTTCTGAAAAAGTGGCGGGCCACAGGTTCAGTGAGTGACAAGAAGAAGCAATCGAAGAGAACTGTGCTGACTGAAGAAAAGGTTAAGGATATTCAGGCAAGATTACAGATCAGTCCTCGAAAATCGTTAAGACGCTTAGCACAGGAAACTGGTGTTTCGCTAG